AACGCTGCAAGTCCTCGGCAACGACAGTGGTGAAGACTGCAACATCGCCGTCAGTCCGCATCCATGTCTCGGTGGCTGTCAACATGTCGGACAAGTTGCGACAAACACCATGCTGATTTGGGGCGGAAGCTGGAGAACGTCGTGCACTGCGCAGCACGTAGTCCGTCATGGAGGCCAGGCATGCCTCATTGACTCGTCGATGACTCGACTGACGGTGACAAGATCCAAGAAGCTGAAACGACAGTAATAGATGCTGCATGCAGCTGCTTTCAGCTCCACAACACAGCATCACGCCGCACCCTGCCACCCAAGCCTACCACATCCCTCCCACCGCCCCAAACGCTGCCTCAACAGGCTCGGTGCTGGCATCCAGGTGCACGAAGCCGCGCGCGATAACGCTCAGACCTTGGCCAAGCTGCTTGACTTTGCAATGTTACCGAAGTCCCCGCGAAAAAACCAAGCTCTGCACCACTGATCCGGAAAGAATCGGCCGGGACTACAGAGCCTCGGGCATCACGAGCACGAACGCATACCATCTTAGCTACGTGCAGCGCAGCCCTCGCCCGCTGTGTGCCGGGCCATCTTTGCAAGTGTAAGAGAACATGACGTCCGGCCTCACCAGAGATCTGGGAGCACGAATGCTGATGCGAAGAAGGGACCCCTGCCCCCTGCCCCTTGCCTCAACTTCGGTCTCCGCTCGTCATGATCGTCCAAGAGTCGCGGCAGCCAAGCGGCAAGCTTGTCGATGAGTGATCGCGTTGTGGGACGGCCCATCCCATACCAGCGGTAGGCTATCATGGTGTTTTGAAAGTTCCGCGGTGCCAGGGACCGAACGCGCACGGTTCGCTGCAGCTCTTTGGCAGCTTCATCGAACAAACGGTGATGCCGAAACTTCTGTCTTGCGTAACACCACACGAGGGTTCCCAAACCGCAACGATCTAGGGAAGGAAGCAAACCGTTGCAGAAGTGGTCTGCGGCCTGGTCGAAGAAAGTCTGTGCACGCACCCCTGCTCGAGTAAAGGTCCATAAAAGGTAAACAAGATTGATTGGGTGGATCCGCTCCAGCCGCTGGCTCGCAACTTTGGCAACAGCCTCAAAGAAGCCTTGATGAGCGAACATCTTCTTGTTCTTCTCTGTTTCGGCGGCAAAGTATCCCTTGCCGGAACCGCGTCCTCCGCCCTTTCCTTTCCCCTTACCTTTCTCACGATCCTCGATGAAAAACCAGAACGTGTTATACTGGTAGTCATGCCACGAAAGAACTCGAGGAATGAAGATCTCGTATTCCCAAACTGCACGTCGAGCCAGGATGTCATCGGTAAGCTTCAAGCGCTGAAGCTCATCAGGATCTTGCAGCTTCTGGCGCAGCTCCTTGATCGAGAGATCTGCTGCAGGTCCTTCCATCTCAAGGGGCTCCTCTGTTTGATGCAGCTCTTCGGAGCTCTCCCTGTTTGATGGTGGCTCGAAACAAGTCTGCTGTGTTTCGGTGTTATACCAGTAGGGTAGAACTCCAACTTGAGGATGCGTGCGCCTTTCCACCCAACCATCCGGCCAAGCCTTAGGCTTTCGAAACCATTCCCAGTATTCCTGGAACTCTTCTTCTCCACCTCCATCTGTGCTCATGGGTGGCAGGTCCTCGGCTGTAGATATCGGAGGGCTCTGTCCCAGCCGCACCGATGACAGCGAACGCCTTGCAGCTGCCAGGGCTCCTCGCACGTTTCGGCATCCTGTCCCCGTGCACATAATCCGTTCCAAACGATTGCGGCGCACGTAGCGGGCCAAACACATCGCTGGGGCTATGGAGCCAGCGCAGCTCCACCTGCAGCTTCCAGCGTCTCGCAACTGCTCCTTCTGGTTTCTTTGAACCTCTCTCCTGCCAGCAGGGCTTTCTGAATCTCTGACAGGCACCAGAACAAACTTGTAGGGCTAAACAGCTGCGCGCCTCTCCAACTGCCCAGATTTTTATCTTAGTCTTATTATTATTATTATTACCGATGACGATCTTTTTGTTGCAGTCTTTGGTATTTCTTTGCTGCAGAGGATCCTCCTGAGCAGAAAGGGCTCCCAGGACGAAACACGCCCGACTTGGACTCGCGGATGATGCCGCAGAATCCCCGACATTGCGCAAAGAGCTGCTAGCAGCTGCTAGCAATGAGCCAACGTTCGAGTCTGTGTCAGGCCCATAAGTGGACTTGCAATATGACATGCTTCGCAAGCCTAACATTGCAGCAGCAAGCTTGAAAAGCATGCTGCGTTGCAACGTCGATTCAAGAATCATGATTTATGTTCTCGTGCTTTGAGAGCTGCGCCGAGTGATCGCTACCAGTTGAAGAGCCACGACATCACCAAACAATTGCGAAGCACTGTTGCGACTTTTCGCCTTACCCCTCTCCCAGAAGATGTTCATGAAACCTCAACACCAACTGTTCTATTCTGCTGCTGTGCTGATAATACGGGCATGTACCATACCAGCAGAAAGTGGAGCATGCTTCGGGGGGGCAAATCTTGGTACGCTGATCCGCGCAATGTGCATCACTGCGCATCAGCTCTGCTCGTAGAGGGATATTGCATAGCGACTCACCTGGCGGAGCTTTACGCAGCTTAAGTGGTCGGCATGTGAGGCGGTCTTGAGAATCCAAAGTTCGCCGAGGAAGCAAGTTGAGGGATGTCGCGAAGCTCGGGGTAGGCCTCTGCTTCGCAGAGGACTCAGGCTGAGAACTTCAAAAATTGGGCCGTGAGGGCGTGGCAGCAGGGTCCTCGTGTAGGTCGAAGAAGGGGATTGCCACGAGCTTGTCCTGAGCTTCAAAGCCGATCTCCACAAGTTTCATTAACTAGTAGACTCACTGTAGAGTGCATGCGCCATGTCAGAATCCTAGCCCTAGCCTTGGGAGGCACGGCGAAAACACATCTCTGCGGTAGGCTCACCTGGTTCAATCGGTCAAGTTATGGGCAAAGCATGGAAGCGTCACTCAAGAAGAAGCTGTCAAAATACTCACTTGCCTGATAGACTTTGACGCACTCTTTCGGTCTTGTAACATGTGGCGGCCTTGAACTCGTCCAGCAACGATGGCGTCCGTGAGCAAATGCTTTACGACTAGGCCGTTGTGAACTGGGAATCTGAGGGCACAGCAGGTACGGATAAGCGGTGCTATCGAAACTTGGGCACCACCTGCGAGCTGAGGGAATGTCTGCAATTACGTAAAGCTCACTCTGTCCCCATGCTGGGTCGGCCACCAAACGGAAAGCAAGTCACCGATCTTCCACTCGCAGACCTGCTTGCGGTCGAACTAAGTGCGGCATTGCTGTCGAAGCTGTGACCTTCTTAGGTGGCTGCCATGTTTGGATCCGCATTGAAGATGAATCGTCGCATTTTTCGATTTAGCCTTGGCTCCCAGGGTCCTTCCCGATTGATCTGGAAAATTGCCGGCTGAGTCGAATGCCCATCTTTCTCTGACTCCCCAGGCCGCAGTGTGCCGCCGGGAAGAGCATAGCCAGCTTCACCTTGAAGACTTCTCGCATCACATCGCAAAGCTCTTCGGCAGTGCTCCTTTTCCTACTCCAGATCTAGACTCAGGGCCCGGAATGATGTAAGACAAGTGCTCTGCAACGCGAGGATGTGCGGGTGGTAGTTGACCTTTGAGCTGACGGAGTCAAGATCGCCTACGGAGATTAACGCCGGGGCCCTGACGTGCACAAGGAGGACTGCGCGAACGGTTCGTCGCATGCCTGGGTCGCATGAAATCCCTGATGCCCACATATGCTTGGCTGCACGGCCTTCGCTCTCGTACTTCCGCTTCCGTCGAAGCATGAGGGGCTCATCCTTCATAGGGACCAAACCTCTTAATTCCCCCAGCTACTTTCCTGTTTCGGTGCTGACTACAGGATGTGCAGCCTTGCCTTGGATGGCTTCGGCTTGGCCCCTTGAGTATCATAGCCTGGAAGCTTTCATCGAAATCCGACGTGTCTGAAGGCACAGTCCTCGAGCCTGACTGCGGGAACAAAGGCCAATCCTTCCGGTCCAGCTCCATGATACAGCCTTACTTGCAAGAAGCAAGGCGAAAGCTTGCTTGTCGCCACGACACTGTTCTGCCAAGGGGCATTTCCAAGGGAAGGCTCTCCCTCTGGATATCTATGTGGGTTTCAGTGTGGCTGTATGGGAATCTGCGTCGAACTACGAGCAAGTGTCTGGTATCGATGCTTGTTTGCTCTCTGCCGGGAGATGTTCTGGGCGCATCTTTTCTAGTTTAGCATGCCCGGACGGATGTCTTTGTCGGACGATCCAAACACATTGTGAAGCGCCAGTGGAAGCTTGATCCGAGACCCGCAGGAGATAATGATGCAAATCAAGCCCTAGACAACCCAAGCTGATGTGCACCTGGAGTGCTCTGGCGCTTGGAGGGTTCAACCTGTGGGAAAGGGAAGACATGGCTGACCTGAAACGAGGCTTGGGGCGATGAGATAGGGTTTGAGGCACAAATGATGGATGTGGAGAGCTTTGATGAGCTTTGCCATTGACGGTGATTGCCCGTGTTGCATCGTCCTCTTTTGGTCTAGCTTGACTAGCCTGTACCCCATGTTGCGGCGATGTCGCGACAGACCTAAAACCACCCAGCTGCTCACCTGCAGGTGGCACTGTGCTTTGTTCGAGTATGATTACCGTAATCATGCGGCATTCGCACTAATCTCATTCTCCCTGGCTGCATAGTAAAGAGCAGCTAAAGACGGTGCCCTTTCGGGCGTGCTCCATCTGGCTGGCAGCTGGGAATGATGACATACTTTGGTCTCTGGATGCTTTGCCGGAGTTGTCGAGCAGTCCTTCCTGCTGGACTCTCAGCAGCTACTGTCTCGCTTGGGCTGATCAGTCTTGCTTGCTTAGCCAGGAAAATTTGACACAATTGAAAAAGTACTGCACCGCCACCCTCTAAGGTCAACGTGGCTGTGAAATCATCGCGGTGATGGCGCGAAACAACGTCGCCTCACCTGCCGTCGCGCTGACGGGAAGATCAGTATTCTGCATTTAGACCTCGCTGGGAGCGATCCGTCTCCCTCAGAGTCTGCTGCATCGCTGACAGCTTACACCTGTGGGCGAACAACATCTTGAACCCATTTTCACAACAGAATTCGGGGTCATCGCTGTGCACACCGACATACATCAAAATCTTGGCAATTTGTGCTGCTGCTAACAGTCATTGACTCACTGACCGTGATGTATCTCGCCTGAGGCTTTCCATCCTGACGGCGGAAGCACAGTTTCAGGTGTCCACCATGTCTTGGAAGTGCCACCCACCTTAACTTCTGCTTCTCCAGTATGTGGCCTCCGAAGTCCTGCGCACATGGCAGGGGCTCTGTGAGAGTGTGTGTGTGTGTGTGTTGTTGCAAACGTGCTTTTTCAGAGCTTCATAATCTGGGAAGGTTAGGATAGGATGGGACCAGCCAACTCCTTCAAGTAGTCCAACGCAGGGCTTTCTTGCAAAGCCTCTGCAGGTCGATGTTGAGACATTCTGTAGCCATTTGCCGCAAGTTTGGAGCACATCCAACATGATCCAACTGCCCCGAGGTCACGACACGTCTCAGATGCTCTTCCTGATAGAGCCTCGCCATCATTGCCTCAGGAAGGGCTCTCCACTCGTGTTCTTTCATCGCCGACAACCCGAGGACCCTCCAGCCTTCAGCCGGGGTCGGCAGAAATGGATGGCGTCTACATGGATGCCCTTGAAAAACTTGAGGCACAGCTCCTGCTTCTTGTGAGACAAACTCTACAACTCGTGGGCCACTAGCCCCTGCAGGTAAACCACCGAGATTCCCTTCCGAAACAACTTCGCCATCCGACAAACCACCTCGCAAAACCCACATCAACCGGGATAAGAACATCACATTGGCAGCGGCCCGGGCCGAGAAGGTTACGATTACTGTTACGATTACTATTACTATTACGATTACTGTTACTATTGCTATTATCATTACTTACTAATTCCGTGACTGTCAGTGTCCTGGAAGGCACCACCTGCGTAGTTCTCTGCAGGAGGATGGAGACCTGGGCTCTCTCTTAGCTTCAGAAGCAACTGCGGACTATCGCATAAGAGTCACTAACAGAAGCAATGCATAACAACTGCCTATGCAAGCTTACTTCGGAGAACCTTGTTGCTCGAACTAGCGAACAGAAAAGCAGAGTGTTGTTCCTGCAGCCACAGCATGGTGAAACTTGCAGGGCCGCTGCATGGCAGGTTGAAGATCTGTTCAACCCGCTCGCGCTGCTCCTATCGCAGGCACAGAGTCACCTTCTCCCCATCTCAGCTTCATTTGGAGTGCCGACTTGCCTGAAGGTTTTCGTACGCGGAAATAGTTCCGTCCACGCTGAGCCTCGCTCAGAAGATCCAGCAGAGCAGGATGCAAGTTGCTGCAGGTTCCCCCCCCCCCCCCCCCCCCGATGCTTCGAGACCCCCGGCTGTATGGTTCCTGGAGACTTTCCGTCTGCAGGGGAGATCTGGCGACAGAGGCTCTCAGGCCATCGGGGCCGAAGAACGGCTGTCAAAGAGACACAGGCACGGCAAGCAAACAGGCCAAGAGGTCCACCACATTTTGCATCTGCTTGTATCGTGCCGTCTGCCACATGTCCCTGATCTCCTGGCCAAGACTTGGGGCCAAGACCGTGTCTTTCCTCTTGGTTGCAGGGGGCTTCAGCTTAGCAGCTGACGGCATCTGCTGAGTAGACATACACAGTCAGAGTCCGGTCCATCATAGTCCGACACTCCCGTTTCCTGGTAGGCATCGCGCTGTCGAACGCTTCTTCCGTCGTCTTGAAGCCTGGTTTGTTCGTCGGCAAAGTGGGTTCAGAAGCATTGCTCACTAAGACTCAGTAAGACAGCAAGCTTGAAACTTGTTGGCCGTGTTTGAGTAGCCAACTCGAAGTGCTGCCGACGCAGCTTCTTCGCGTTCAAAGGAAACCTTCCATTCCTGGACCAGAGCTGAGTCCGGGCACGCATCCGGTACTAGGCTATACCCGCCTTACCAGGAGGACTTAACATGCAGGACGTGCAAACTCTCAAATTAAAGCTGCGAAATGTGCAACAAGTCTTCACAACATGCAAAGCTCCTTGGAAAGCCGCGACCATTAAGCCAAGGCTGCGGCAGGATCGCAAAATCCACCGGAAACAAGCCATCGAACTTCTCCTGGTCAAAAGTTACTTTCGCACTGGCCTTACGACAAACCAGTTCCAGTCTTGAACGACACAACGACTACGACTCCATGCCACTCCTGCTCCAAATGATGCTGCTCTTGCAGCTACAAGTATGACTTATGCTGTCCCTCGCCATTAGGTGCGATTTGTCCGTCAATCTCGCATATATCATAGACTGTGCTATAAAAGCTACCCTAGTAGCCCTGGACTAAAGGCTGACCCAGGTCCAGCTGCGAGTACACAAGCTTTCCTGACCTGCTCGATACCCTGATGCTCACACACTCCAGTCTGGGAGGACACACGACAACATGTTCTTAAAGGGGGCCGAGGGCTTCTTGTTATTTGCTTTGCCTCGTCCTTATTAGGGTGGATCACTGCATCCGAGGAGGAGGTCAGCGCCGGAGTTGGACCATGATAATGACCATGGAGGAGGGGAGTCTTCCCATTGGGAGCAAATGATGAGTTTAATCATCACAACACCACTGACATGGCTTCTCACTTCGTGCTTGTGATTTGTGGGGTGGACCTGGCAGGGGGAAGGCATTATCAAACAATGCTGACAATAACAACCATAATAATCAAACGGCTTCCCATGTGACTATTTCTGCGGGGCCGGCCGGGCTGGGGGGGCGAGGGGCATTATTTTGATTGGAGAGGATCGACTGATCACATTGTAGTAGTTTCAATATGAATAGTGTTGTTGCTGTTGTTGCGATTATTACTACTAGTATAACTATTTTTAGTATCTAATAAATACGTATAAGCATCAGTACATAACTGCTTCTCATCACTAACTGTGTGGGTGGGGGTGGGGGGCAAACAATAACACTGACATGGCTTGCAACTCCTTCCATGCATGCTTTGCTGCTGCTGCTGCTGCAGCTGTTATTTTTAATGTTCTTGCTGTTGGCGTTGTTGCTGCTGCTGTTGCTGTTGCTGCTGTTGCTGTTGTTGTTGGTCCACAATCTTTTTTTGCGCGGGGGTGGGGGGGGGGGGCAGGACGACTGCAAAGGCGGGACTTGCAGTATCATTATGGGGAGGAAAGCTTGGGAAACACACAACAGCTATTACTGAAATGGCTTGCATGGGTTTGTAATTTCTTTGTTCTCATCGTTATTATTATTGTTATTGTTGTTATGACGATTATCCTATTTTCATTATAAGCACCATGCTACCATTATGTGGGGTGGATGGGGCCGGCTGCTGGTGGCACCACTATTATTTCAAGGAGTGGCAACTAATGAGAATAAAATGGTTTGCCGTTCCATAGTTACTATTTCTAATCTGGCCGGGGGAGCATGATAGTACACGCATGGTTTCCATTCCTTTGTCATAATTTCCAGCACTTCGTAAGTTGTCGGGTGCTCTCAGCCAAAAGAATCTGTGGTGACTTTCCGCCATCTCAGACTTTCCACAAGCGTCACCAAGGCTGCAGCATCAGTTCAACACCCTGGGCCCCTCGATCCAAGCTACGGGATTGCACCCTGCACTAGCACTGTAGCTACATGTTGAAAGCACTTGGCCTGCAACGCCCGCAGTGTGCCCGAGATCACCTTGTCCTGCACGGTCGAAAGGCTGGTGAATCGCCCTGGGCTGAGCGGAGCTGTCTGAGTGGCTACTGAGCGAGTCCAACTGCGAATCATCATTGGCACTCTTGACGATCGCCGGTGCGCTGTTACAATGCCTATAAAGCAAAGTCCATGAAGCATAACAGGGTCCTTGTACGCATGGAGCTGGTCCTCCAGCCAATCCTTCCGAGGGCAAACTCACCAGGTAGCAGTAGTGGACACCAAAGAAAACCTAAACAAATACCATGGGGTTGGGAATTACATAGTCCTTCCTGAAGTAAGCCAACGTAGTATGGATACCCCACCCACAAGTTCAGGTTTGGCTGCTCTTTTGGTTCCCAAACAGGGAGGATGCTCCGCGAGGCTTTGTTAATTCTTGCTTGCAGCAAGGTGTCCGCACCGTTCATGCCCATCTTCGTGACATTCCGCAGGCTTTGTGCCACACCTCCCGATCGAGCCGAGATGGAACAAAGGCTCGAGCTCTAAAACTGGGCTGTGCATCCACCGGAAGCCCGTGACTCAATCGTCCTTCATTCTGAGAACAAGGGCGGAAATCGAAGCAATTGTGTCAAACAGCATGCGAATCTGGAAAATTGGAAGAACATATGTCGTGGACAGAGTAGCATAGCAGGACAATCCACGACACCTTCCATGGCAGTGAGTGCCGTGGCGACGTCTCGCCCCCAAAGGTAGTTGAAGCGCTTCATGAATACCTCACCAAAAAGTTTGCGATTGGCCTCGATAGTCACGACACTCAAAACACTATCGATTTCAGCCTTCTGGCTGTGCATGTTCAGCTGGGACATACCTGCACATTCTGGAGGTGGAATCTGCATCATCTGCGTCTTGTGAGAGTCTTGCAATGTCTTGCACTATCGACTTGAAGCAACCTTTCGGACATGAGCCGCATACGATGGAGCGCGAGCTTGGCAATCATCTCTTGCTGGCCTGCCTGGGCACATGACGCTACAAAGCAGCCGCCAAGTCTGCCTACGGTTCTTCGCGAGATAGCTCTCGCACAGCCGTTGCTTGATACTAATGAAGCTTGCTTCCCTGTCCAACGGTGGCTGGGGCCGGGGCTGCGGACATCATCCCTGCTGATGCTTTTGCCATGCTTAACTCTTCGTTCGAAACCTGGCATGCAGACACAAGTTTCGAGCAACACAGTGCTGAACAGTCCACATCATGAACTGTCGGCGGATGCGGCTTCGCTTGAATGGAACTGCTGAATTGCTAGTGATGCTACCCGCCAAAACCGGGGCTGCGGCTCTCTTCATGTTCAGCTGCAGAATGACAAACACGAATTCGTCGCAAAGGCGCAGCCAGGACCTGTGCTCATGAGATCAGGCCCGAATGGCCCTTCGACAACTAACTGAGCCCAGAGCGGCTGCCCTGCAAGCTTTGTGTTCTTGTTTGCCATAAACGCGGTCTTAACCTCGTGAGCATCTTCACAATGGCGATGCACAAAGCAAGTGGTCCGCTTCCACACGACTGGCCTGCTTGGCATCCACCTGGGACAGCACCTCAACGTAACCTTGATGATCTGGCCTAAGTCCACAAATTTCACCGTGGCACGCGCAAATCAAGACGAACGCTCGTCTAACCCAGCTAGGTACTGGACCATCTCGCCTCCTCACCTGCTTTCTTGATCTCTTCCTGTCGCGCTTCCAGAATGGCCCGAGCTGCGCGACTCTGAATTGTGATCTAAACGGGTCTAAATGCCAAGTAAGGTGAACCTCGGTGGTCAGCATGTCGTTCGGCAAAGCACGGGAGCCGCTGAGCCACCCACACACCTGCTACACTGCTACACTGCACGGCCGATGGCCGCGAGGTGTCAAGAATGCGAAAGCCAGTCAACGCGGCAGGAATGCTGCATCCACAGCTTCCAAAGTGGCATCCCGCTCGATCCTGCTGCAGTCGATGCCCATGCCAGGTAGATTGCTTCACATTGTGCCCCTGCTAGAGAGCTAGCTGTGTGGCAAGGCTTGCAGTTCAGTGAAATGGTCCACATGATCAAGGCCAGGGTACTGTGCAGATGTGAGGAACCCTGCTGCGCCTTCCAGACTGTTGCCTTTCGGCGGCCCAGTCCAGCCTGTGGCCCAGGCCCAGGAGATCAAATACTTTTCCCCATATTCGAATGAAGCCACGCTCCATCGAAGTGTTGCCGAGCAGCTTGATTGCGTAGTCTACCACTGGCTCATTCCTTAAGTCTGCCAGCGGAACAGATATCGCCCAACTTGTGAAGCAAGCATGCCAGTGACTGCAACCCGCGCCATGGTATCAGGCAAGATAAGCAATTCGTGCCAGGCACTGCCTCAACCCTGCAGAATTTGAGGCTCTGAAACATGCACCTTGACGGATCCATTTTTAAGGTCATCATGACATGCTTTCAGTCATGTCTGGGGTTCGTACACCATTCGTTCAGCAACGAAGTCTCTGACTTTGTCTTTGTCTGTGAGCTCCTGTCTTCCCAACCAACGACTTCGTTGGACACGGAAGCGTCTTAGAGAGGTTTATCATGACAGTAGGTGTAGCGCAATGCTCGGAGCCGTACAAAAAAACATACGACAAAGGTAGCTCAGCAAATGCCCAAACAGATCTTGCATTACCCTTGCACCCCCTGCGTGCCCAAGGAAAGTGGGCCCCAGGGGTCCTTCATATCGTTCGAACCCGAGAATAGTCAATTCTGTGTTGCGGAACAATGGACAACACATTTATACAACTGCGAATGATGGTACATGCATGTGTACAGACAGAAGTACTCAGCATTCTGAATATTCGCACATTATACGTGTCCCAACTTGGATCTCACCCTCGAATGGCCTCAGGTTATATATGGTCGCCGCGTCGCAGGCCCGCCCCCCCCCACCCCCCATGGTATGCCCCCCCCTTGCCCAGGCCAGGCTTCTCGTCCCAGCAAACAGTCATCCACGCAACTCCCCCCCAAAACATACCTCTCCTTAGCAAACGGGGAGAGCGGGAGGGGTAACCAACAATCCATAGAACCACAAGACAGAGAACGGTGGTACCTTTGCTCTTGTGTTGCTCTGGGCTTCGGCACCGCATGCTCATTGCTTTATTTAGTGTGAAATTCGTGCTTGGCTTGTGATGTTCTTGCGAAAACTGTATCGACCGTTGTCATTCCAGGCCAAATTGCGGTTGGGTTCGTTGAAAGTAAGTTTGAGCACGAATTTGAATGATTTTCATTCGGGACTCTTGAGCAAGGGACCGGAGGAGAGTGCGGATGGGGATCATGACCACCATCTTGGTGGTCATTATCATAACCAGAATATTCATCTCTGTCATTGGCTTTGGAGCTCAGGGCAGGTCGGAGTCCAGTCGAACTGTATCACATCCTAAGGCCAAAACCCTTAGCAGCCGGACGCCCAACCAGCAATAGCCATGGAAGGGGGCACAGCTGACCGCAGCCACAGGGGGGAAGGGGAGGGGGGAGCCCACACCACAGCGAAGCACAGGGGGGGGGAGGGGGGATACCATGGGGTGGGGGGGGGAGGGGGGGCCTAGCAGCGCTGCACCATATATACGTGTACGGGGGGATCGGTATATCAGTATATCTACACGACTCTGCTCGCACGCATGCGTACATGATAATAGGTATGAAAACAAGCGCACATTATGAATAGTGTATGAGAAACACACGATACTCGATGTATACAGCAAGTATAGCATATACAGCACATGCCGTGATATGTCTCCTGCAGCATCCCTCTCCACATCGACGCCCAGGCAGCTGCCATCTCAAACTGCAGTGCCTTGAGAAGCTTGAGCACCTGAGACACGCAGCAATCAGTGGCGCTGCGAGCGCTGTAACACTCATCCAAACTATAGCAAGGATATTCAGGACAATCCTATCTGAGATTGCCACCTCGACGTCGTAGAGGTGAGGCGCAGCATTGGGACCTTGGCTGTGGCGCAGCATTCTGTTTCAGGTCCGAATATCTGTCGACGATGCTGGGATGTGCTGGGTATGCCTGGTAAGTCAGCTGCTCATCGGAACCTCGTAGTCCTGGTCTTTTGCAAACATGCGAGGAGTTGCCAGAAGGGCATGTGCAGCAAGTATACCAAGTGTCTAGACCAACTGTTCTCTTTGAATTTTTCTGCCGCGACCAACACCAGCAGCAGCAGCAGGTGGCAGCAGCAAATCGCGCGAACAAGAGCAACAACAAATCTAAGCACAGCCATGGCGACGATCAGATGTGAGTGCAGTAGAAACGAGAGCAAGAACAGTAACTCGGCGTTGACGACAAGGAGTGACTAACGACACCTTTACAAGCACAATGAAGGAACACAGAACACCATCAAGTTGACATCATAAAGTCCGAAACAGAACCAGCACCAGTAATTATCACCACCCCATACCACCCCCACCTACTCCGTCAACACCGTCATCGGCGTTGCCACCACCACGACCACCCTACGCCAGAAACTGCGGCCCAACGCAAGACTTCATCTGAGCCAGCATGGAAACCTCCCAACCTGTACGCAGCGTCAGAAAGATCTACAGAAGATGCTCGGCTCTGTCCTCGGTGCACAAGCGGAAGATTCGCAGATTCACCGCGTTGCTGCAGTTGATCGTGGGCGTGCCATCCTGTGAGTCTCTAAAGAGTCTGTAAAGCATGCCGAAAGTTGCCTCGGAGGATGGCGAAGGCACAAAGGCACAACGTGACCCCTTCCTCGAAAATGAGAAGATAACCCATGCGCGGAACCTCGAAGTGAAGGCCAATCTCATCGATCAACTTTCGGCTCCAGCCGACCTCTGGACCTAAGGGACCCGACTTGGGAATACCTCCACCAGCGCCTGGGCTGAGGCTGAGGGCAGCGCGGCCAGCATCGTCGTCGTCTTGCTTTTCGCAGCACGTGGAAAGCCCGGCACCAATGGATCTCAGAAAGCCTGACGCCCAGAAACCCAATAAACCTGTTGACATTCCGCGCGCAATATGACCCATGACACGACACCGATAAACCCAGCCTTGCTGCTGCCTCTTAACTTTGGCATGCCAGCCCAGACCTGTTTTATCTCCACTGCGATGGCTTAGCAAACCAACATGCAGCCTAGGGATCGCAGAACATGGAGTTGCTGCCTTGATTGCTGCCCTTCAGCAGTTTCCGCTCGTTGAACAGCAGCTTTCGCAAACTCACTTGCCTCAAAAGCGTGCGCAGAACATCTGAAAAATACCTGCAGAGCAAACCCTTCGTTGATATAAAGTGCTTCTGAGGCCAGTTCCCGCTGTTGTTGAATTTGAACGGCAGCATCCAGTGCAAAGGCCCTGGAGAGGTCGTGTTCCTTCGCAGCAGCTGGCATGCCCGCAAGAGCTACTTAAATGCATGACAAAGTCTCATCTAGGACTAATTCAAGTATCTCGACGAGCAGGAACAGTGAGATGCGACCGTGCTGGCAGAACGGACTCTATTGACTCGAGTAGCATCCTGTCGGCTTGCCGCCGAGGGTCTCATCCACACGGACCATGATGCCGGAGCGCTCACGTACCCGTGGGCGCTGAGTCACGGGATCAACCACAGGCTCATTGTGGTCGTCAAACTCAATGCTCCCTTGCAGAACCGAAGACACCACTTCATCGGCATGATTCAGCAAGGCTTTCAGAACACCGGCCAAGATCAGCTTGGTCATCTCCGCCTTGCGAGCTTCCCGCTTACTTGATCTGTTGTCTGACTTCTCGCGTGGAGTCATAGCTGGAAGTCTTGCAGGCTGTTCCGTCGTCTCTCCTGGGTCAGATGCAACCTCATCGAACTCCTCCTGACCTACCAAGTCGAAGAACCTGTCCAACTCATCGCCGCAGCGTGCTTCCAAGCAAGCGACAGCACTGCGAAAGTCACGCTCGACGAGAAGACGCATCCGTCGTTCCAACTGTTCCAGGAGAGGGCGAACAAGACCTCGATGCTTGGAATCCTCACCAAGGCCGACCACAACCTTAACTGTCTCCTCCGTGAAGTTGAGCTGACCGGACCTCATGCGTCAAATGAGTATGCTGACCCATTAGCTTGGAAGTGAGGGCCGTCGCTACTGTACGAGGATATAGTCTGCATGTCTGCATGACACTGGGGTTCGAGCTGGCCAGTGCCGACTCGCATCTTGGCCATGTCATGCAAGCTTGCCGGAACGCATGGCATCGGCGCGAAAGCCAGCATTCCGGTAAACCTCGGAGTAACAGAGGATACCAAACCGTTCCGCTGATGAGGACTCGACCAGCAGTGGCTCATCACAATCACTTGACATGACTCATGGTGGGGCAGCATCCGGCGTTCACAGGTGACACCTAGCACCTGTCTCATCTTGGGGGTAGGCATGAGTAGCATCTCGCGGCAAGAATCCAATGCCAAGGCAGGACACCGACAGCTGCCCACGGAGAAGTTGCTAGACGCTTGGCGCCGTCTTGGGGTGACACAGACACCTCCTGTCGTGAAGCGGATGTTTTCCTCCCGCCGTCGCGTGCCGCTGCTGGGCAAATACAATCCGCCCTCTTTTCGCGCAGGAACGGAGCAAAAACAACATCGTTCACGCACGCGCATCCGCAGGTTCTCCTAGTGTAGCTAGCGGTGCTGAAAATTCGTGACGTGACGAGGCTAACATCGCCTTTTATGATCGAATTGAGGACCATGGGAGACAATGGGAGACGCCGGACCGTTTCGCAAGGACTCTGGGGATATTCCAAAAGAGCCGAAACAATCAGAAACTCCATGAAGCGGGATACACCAAAACATAATTGCAGAAACACCACGAGAAAAATGCTGCAGATAGGCAGTGTCCGACAGCGGTGGCAGAGCCGCGCAAGGCGCCACGTCCGTAAGGATTCCGAAACCCTTAGGCCGGGGCTCGTCCACGAGGCGCTGCCAACTTCGGATGCAGGCAAGCCGCAGCTCGGACTGTGTCAGATGTCAGAACTCCACGTCTGATGCACACTGCACACACGGCCTCTTCGGCTCGCTAAACTCTCGGGCTCCAGGTTGCCTCGAAGCCGCAGTATTCCGTCAGCAAAGCCACCACCTTCCTGTCGACATCTCCAGTGAACCTGAAGCTCCGGACTCCGGGCCGCAAAAACAATCTACAGCCACCTCTTACCCCTACTAACAACCACCCGTGTCGAAGTGAGGCTGCTTGCTTCATAACCTGTCGTGAATGGCACTACAAACTTTAGTACCAGATGCAAAAAGCCTCCGCTCAAACAGACTTGCTGGCAGCTGGCCAGGCGAGTCCGTCATCATCCGAGTGCTTGTCGTTACCTTGCAAACGGCAAAGGCATGCTTCTTGCTCCGTCACGTCTTAGTCTCGCAGCTGGGAAGTGGGCTGTCTAAAGCACCTTTTGCGACTCTCCTTGCTTCATCCTCCGATGTCCATAGCAAGGAGTCATCCTCCTTTATGCTTCCAGTCCTCGGCGTGCCCGCTGCACGCTTAAAACTGCATGGTTTGTCACATCTTCTTTCTCGACTGCAGTAGCTGGCAAGCTCCGTCTGTGGCCTCTGATACTTGAAAGCCCCATCTCAAAAGAAGTTGCACCAAGACCAAGGTCCCAACGCTGGGTCGTACATCTCCTGGCATTCGCGTTATTAGACCCCGATCCGACTGACCAGCCGTTGTGAGACCCTTCGCCAAGTGATGCCTCACCTTGCTACGACGTGCGATTGAGGTTGGAAAGCAGTCCGTCATAAAGCATTGCAATCATGTCCCGATTGCCAGCTCCCAGTCTGCAGAATCTGCAAAAGTGCAAGTCACATGCCGGCACCGCCGTGGCATTATGCGTTGCATCCAGATACTTTCTCACTGTTGCTGCGAAGGATGCCAGCATGTTGTCCCACCTGATCACAGAATATCACAGAACTGGATAGCTCCGTCAGAAACAACCCAGAGACCAACACCGAATGGCTCAAACATGCTTAGAATATATCAGTACGCTTTAAAATCGCAGCGACCCTTGCTATGGGCTCTAGCAACGAGCAGTCAAAGTCCATCTTGATTCATGCCCATGATTATCATCAACTCAACTATCATCATCAGCAGCAGCATCCTCATCCTCATCACCGTCGCTACTAGTAGTCACCATCACCACAATGCTTGCCATTGTCGTGGTCTGAGGTCGTAGCTCTGGTGGGAACTGTAGCTGCTTCACGCGGGCCTGAGCCTCAAGTCGTAAGCGACGTGTCGCGTTGCCGGTGCGAAGTCCCGGAGACTCAGGAGCCAACACGTTCCAGCTCCGACTGGCGCCTTGCGATTTGTCGTTTCAGCCTGCCATGACAGAACGGGATTTCAACATTTTCTGAAATGAGGTCACAGCTCTGAGAGAATGGCTCTTCTTGCAGTCTTCCAATGTGCCCGTCGATGTCGTGGAACCTACAGGGGCCGATTGCGGAGTCATCCGAATCTTGCGCCGCTGCCGGCAGCAGCAGCAGCAAAATCCTGATAAGGCCACTGCTGGAACTCGTTCAGCTTTTTACGAACCTCAATACGAACCGCGGAATCCACGCGAGCTTTTTTGAGCATCGACATGAGAACTCTTGACCGCACATCTATGCCACTGAGGTAAAAGCCAAATCGATGCCCGGTACAATGACATTGGAGAACACCTTACTGTCCTCTCATGCTGCGAGTTTGCATTACAAAAGATGGCAACAACTAGCACGCCGAATTGCTCAGGCGACTAAAGTCTGCCGTCCTTGAACCGCTCTTGCAACTGCTTGGCCTCGCCAGCCACTGCTTATTGCGCTTTGGCATGGTCGGGCAACGTCGTGTTCCGCATTCGCAAAAACTGAGGTGCTCTCTCGCATTTCCGTGTGCTGCACCATGGCTCTTCGAACCTGATTGCACTGAGCACTGGTGTGCAACAAGGGACAAGTCGATTCTGACAGAAGTTAAAAAGCAATTATTGACACGATGTCACGCAAGATGGAACCGAGCAGTTTCACGCATCAGGCGAAGCCCTGCGAGTAAACTGCTCATTGCATATCTGGAAATCGGTTCAAACGTTTCCACGAGTGCACCTGTCGGCCCAGGTCTGTCTGAGGGCTTGTCCGCCTGCAAACCTTGCTCTTTGTTGATCTTGTGCCAGTCCTGCTGGTCGTAACCTGGCGTGTTGGCCAAGTTAGAAGCTCAAGGGAGGTCCGGCCCGGGACCCGCCAGATTGCGAGAAGTACAAGCAGAAGAAGAAGGCAATTCAAGAATCACTCTGAATTGATCATGCAGTGCCTCATCACAAGTTTCTAGGCTGCGGACCCGCCTTCTTGCCACAGGGGCAATCCAGGCTCGTACGGCAAACCGTAGTCTATGCAGTACAAGACCAAGTCCTGAGACATGCTGTGAAGTGACCCGCATGTTTGCATGCCGTCGACCAGAGCACTGAAGATTTCTGGGAGAGAAACCGTGCGCCCACTCATCTTCTCGTAGATGACATTGAAGTTTTCTGTCACCTGGCGTCCACGCGAACAGCCAAAATTTTGGCACACCTTGTTTGATCTTATCTGATCTGTCCGAAAGCTCTCTCTCTGCCTGATTGTCTTGGATCTTCGTATTGGCGAAGTTCTGCACGACGATAGTGCGGGAGCACTCCCTGCCAGCAGATTTCTCGGGGCAACCTCTCGGGCTGACCTATTTGTGCTGCTTCCACGGAACGAACCCAGAGCTGCTTATCGAATGCTCGGTTACAGTGTGCCGATCTTTCTGGGGACAGCTTCGTTTAAAGTTGAGTGGGGCGAGTGGGCTCAGGCAATGTCAGCCCGTGATTTCCACGGTGGTCCTAGTCGCTTTTATTGAGCTTTAGGTAGCATTCGTCTCCTGTCTGACTATGATGAATGCGGGCCTCATGGCAGCAGCGAGATGAGGGAAACCGCCGTTGTTCGGATGGTCCTGTGGTTGCACAGCACGCGACTGGGCAGGATTACCGTCGGCTTGCTCCACGGCCCTCCATTCGTTCAAAAAGCGGGAAGGCTTTTGCAGATATTCCCTCCAGTTTTCACCTTCCCAGCTCCCATCTGCACCAGCGCACAACGCTGCATTGCTTATCTTTCCGTGTTGCTGGGATGCTGCACTACCCTTGCAGCCGCATAACCCTTGCCGAGGCTTAAAGCAAGGGGTTGCAGCATTTTTGAACGACCTCTCGTCCTCAGCAAGATTCGATTCAGGGGGGGGGGGTGGAAACAGGGTGTGGGCTGTGAGAAAGCAAACTTGTTTAACCAAGACAATGCATCTTGGCTGTGTGGGGGGCATTTCGTTTAGCGGTAGTGGCAGTCGTCGTAGTAGTAGCAGTAGCGGTCGCAGCGCTGGAAGTGTCCAGTTACTGTACGCACTCCACCATATCGTGTTACTAAACTCAAACGTGCCGCTAGAACTGACTTGCATAATTAAGCACTTCGCAATCGCACAGCAACTGAGATGCAACGAGTGATGCGCAATGATAAAGACTTGTGGCTCCTTTCCGATGACCAGGATAACAGCATTGTCTGGCCTTGCGTCGCAGCACACCACGGATCGTACCAACCCGAGCACCGCCAGTGTCAAACCCAAAACGCATCTTAGAACGAGGCTTGATAAATGAAAGAGCAATCTTGGTTGTGAGCCGATTGCCACGACTGAGACCTGCAGTCTCAAGTGCTACAGCACCTTTGCGCACTGCTGATGAACCTGGGGCCGTGACCGGGAACATCCACCAAACGCATTGGGCAATCTATGTCTTTGTGAAAAAGCTGAACCTTGCTGCAATGCGCTGGCAAGGCTTTTCGTATCTCTCAGGGCTCGGTTTGCAAGGCTTTGTCGCTAAGTTCCACTCATACACGGGTGTCTCGTCGAAAGCATCATCTGGTCTGATCATGGGGGGCATTTGTCCACGAAACAGCTCCTCAGCTCATGCAGCGACAGAACAAGTTTCGATGGCAGGACGAAACAGCTTCAGGTGCGGGCGCGATCAGGGTTCAAGCAGTCGAACCTGGTGGCTCGGTTGAACTTTTGAGGAATTCTCTTGGACACCAGGTCGGGCAGGCCATTCTGGATGAGCTCGCGGGTCGTTCACATTTCGAACCAGATTGGCCACCTTGCAGCAAGACGGTCACTGCCCTCCCTCTGTGGCAGTCTCTGCCCCGAGGCCACCACATCTGCTAAGGACGTGAAATCCTCCTCTCTAGTAAAGTCGTTCTTCTGAAACTTCGTGCGGAAAAGCACCTGCAGGCCGGAGTGTTGCAGGATGTTCGAAGAAATCGAGTGGTCTAAGTGCCGCCTTCTCTCGCTCAGGGTCTGGGGTCAGCGTCATGACGCATGGCCTGGGGCATGTGTGCCGGTAGCCGAAACGCGAGTGCAGGCAACAAACATCCCAAAGGCTCGCACCGGCGAGTGCCAATGCCCTGAGCGACGAAGTTAAAAGGGTAGCCCAGCCTTGGACCAAAGCAATCGCGGACAGGCCATTAGAATGGAGAGTACTAATGGAAATAAGTATAGTAGCAACAATATGAATAGTAGTATTAGTAATAGTATGAGTAGTGGCATCCTGCAGCCTTGATGCAAAAAGTTGATTGTGGTCGACTTACCTGACGACGTGTCTCCCACCACTACCTTGGATTCGATCGGCAACGCAATATCTGCGGCTTTACAAAGAAATCATATGCAAGGCGAAAGGCAATCTGCTGACCTTGGTTCTCTAAAATGTCCAAGAGCTTGTTGCGATCCTCAACTCGCCAGATTTCGCACTCTGCCAAAGCGCGAGGCTGAGAGGCTGAGAGCGTGCGCCTGGAGCTTCGACAGCTGCTCTGGATCCAGATTCGCCTTGACGCCATCCCACCTCGGAGGGTTCAGGACAAGGAAGACAAGAAGATACAAGGAGCACATCATCACTACTAGGAATTTGAGCTCCAGGCTTTGAATCCTTCGTCCACATGATGTGCTGACTAGAGCAGAGACCACATGCAGAAGTTCAAGTCTTTGCAAGAGCCCGCTGTCGGTGCTGTTTATGTGTGCTACGTCTCTGTACGTAGAGTCAGCTCCTACAGTACTTACATTACTCCGCGCTGATTTGCAGTGCAGCTCGGGCTTTCATTGATCAGCCAAATGCTTCAGCAAACCAGGCATCACCACCACTGTAAGCAGGTTCTGCAACTGTACTGTAGGTTTCTAGGCAACTGCCCGTGCCTCAACACGTATCCTGATCAAACGGCTCCAACATGCCTGCCAAACATGAACATATCGACTCAAATGCCCTTGTGCTTCCTGCGCAGGGGTTCTTAAAACTGCTTGGTCAGAGTGTGTGGCAACGGCCATGTGCTGTGTTTGAGTATTTTACTAGCACTTTGAGGTTTAATGTGGTCAACTCAGACTCAGTCTGGTAGCTGCGATGGTAGCAAGAACTGAAGGGTGTGGGTGCGAAGGTTGTGTTGGTGGCGGAAGTAGCGCCAGTTGTGGTGGTAGCAGGCAGTATATAGCAGCCGCCGTTCGAATTGTAACAACAGCAAAAAGAGTAAAGGTAACAGCACCGTCTGCAGAAACTAGTATACAGGGAGAGATGCAACTAACCAAATTGTGTAGTGGCATTCTTATTGTTATTCGCTGCCCACCACGCCACAAACCCAAAGACCAAGTAGTCTACGTGAATGCAGCAGGCTGCCTGTCCTTTGACATCAGGCTGCTGCGATCTCAAAGGGGCAATTTGCGACTGTGCCTTCGACGGGATGTGTTTTGACTGTCAACCTTGGCATCATGAATCGTCTGACACGCTGAAGGTTCAGACGAATATGCCCGCGCGTTAACGTTGCACCAGAGATGCGGCCGGCCACCAGAAGCCGACTGTGTCGGATACTCCTAACCTTTCGCCGAAAGGTGGAAGAGTCGACTATTTCCAAAGATTATACAATTCACCTTCCATATCTTTTCACCTCGAATGCCTCTATTTTGGATGCATCCTCCGTCCATCCAACCACCCCGAAGGTATGCAAACCCCTATGCCGTGCAGGCTCCCACATGCGAGACCCTCATTTAGAATCGCTGTCTAGCTTAGCTGGTTCAAAAAAGTGGTTTCGTCTTCTGGTGCGACATCTACGGATTAGGAATGACGGCTTCTCTCAGGCGCTCTTGAGGCGGCTGGAGTCGTGGACTGTCGCCATCTGGCCGAGATCGTCGGCAGTATGATCTATGACTGACCTCAGGAGCCAGGGAAAAAATCAAGTTTCAGGTTGGCCACCATCCCGATCCTTGCATGAAGGTATGCTGGCGGCTAGCCGGATTGCTCGTCTTCGAAACCTACTCGGTGCACCTCCTAGTCTCATGAGCTGAGGCCAGAGCTATGTAGCGCCACGTGAGATTTATTCGAGCCTCGGTTTTGGAGCACGCGCAAAGACTTAAAGCAAACAGGAGCAAACGGACTCTTATCCATGATCAGCCCGAAACCCAACTCTGAAGCAATACTACAAGCGGAGAACCGCAGGCTATGCAGAAGTGGCCAAGGAGCCGATCTGTACCTGGACGTCCTGGGATCGGCCGAGCGCGTCCGAAGGAAAATCTCTCATGCCAAGTGGGGGGTGGCAGCTGCATCCAAGTCTCTCTCCCGGGGATGCCATGCTCTCAGAAGTTGTGGAGGCTGAGGACTTCGGACTCTCCACAGAGTTTCCCTGTGCAGCATTCGGTCATATGACATATGATCTGAACCCACTCTGACTCGAACTGACAAATCTGCGCCTTGGCCACTTGATGTGAGAAGTGCCTCCACAGAGCCCGAGACTGCTCGCAGCCCAGGCCGCGCTACATTTCATGTTTTGCCATGCTGAGAGCCCGCAATGAAGGCTGAGATACCAGCTTTTGGAAAAGCCCCTCCATGGTGCAGAGATCTCCTTTTCACGAAGGGAAGCTTTGCACCGAGCAACACAACTCAAGACCAGCTGGCAGCCTGAATTCAGGGTTACACTCTGGAGTGTGTCATAGAAGACGCTGGGCTTTCCAGAAACGTGGTTTCGGTCCTGCAATGCAGCAAACTGCTACAATCCCACAGGGATCGCAAGTTCAAGGATCGCGGGCGAGAACGCAAGACCTCACTGAGGGCTCCTTCACAGCTACCTCGAACCTCCTTGAAGCGCCCCAGGAGGCTGAGATGATCCGACCTGCCGGAGACCCGCACAGGCTCAAACACATGCATACATACACATGCATACGGATATGTATATATATATATATATATGTACATACACACATGATATGTGTGCATATACACTTGTACACGTGTGTGTGTGTGTGTGTGTGCATGCATGCACGTGAGTATGCACTGAAACAGTAACAGCAGCGAACGGCAGACCGGGGACCGCGGCACTGCCAACGTCGCGGTCAAGCACGTCTGAACTGATCTCAGCTCCAGGCAGTCTGCCTGACAACCGCGGAAGAGACCCTGGGCACACAAAGCTAATACTCAGCTAGACTATCCGGCGAGCCACGTTGGGACAGCACTAGTCATTTTCGTAGCGCTGCCGTCCCTGCCTCGTCATCAGAGTGCCAGCCCACGTTTTGCGACTGTCACGGTATTCAAATAGCAGTGATAGTAGCAGGCTGCGGCTAAAAATTAAACATATACCAGCATCTGCGGAAACAGTGCTCTGTCGCACCAAGACCAAGACATGCAATTGTAGACTGCATGCACGCGCCTCGTCCTCATAGAGGTTCATGTTTACACCTGCAATTTAGGTTTTTGTCTCCCACAGGCTCGATATGATGCCGAGGCCGCCACTGTTCGGCCACTCTTCTTGTCTGAGCCCACAGAGCTCTCCGAGGACTCTGGCCTGTGGAGTTCAAGCACTCAGAATCAGAATCCGGAGCTTCCAGAGCTTCAGGCTACAGTGTGCAGACGTGAGCTAACCGCCTCAACATCGGCTAGCCAAGGCGGCTTGTCTCGTGGCAGTACCTCCGCATGGGGTTTCAAGTCTGGGCCAGACGACATCCACTGCTAGTATTGGAATTGGCCGCTACATGACCGAGTGTCCCAAAGCTGTGGACACACTGAGATCGAAGCGGCGGTGTCGCCGTAGACATAGCGGCAACAGCATCCTGGAGACACGTACCTTCGGAGACTCCCAAGGGCGAGTTTCAGCCTAAACTCTAATACCGACAGCGACAGAGCACAGCCACAGCCCCTTTCGCTTGCTACCAGGTAAGCCTGTCTTCATGGGACGATGTGCCCCCAAAGCTAGGCAACCCTCGTAGGTCTGCATCCTGTTGCTCTCGGTGCCGAGCCATGCAGTGCTTCTTGTGACCGCACCAGTTTTGCTGGTCCTCGGCTAGGACGCAAGAGGGGCTTTATAGTTTCGGCAGTTCTGGCAACAGGCATCTAAGTATGAACACTTCGGCAACGGCAGTCCCCCTCGTCGCAGTCCCCCTCGTCATCTTCATCAAAGCGCTCGTCCCCTTCTAGTCATCATCAACTCGATCATCGCCTCACCGAACATATCCTCCTCCTCCTCTTCCTCCTCAACCGTCTCTTCAGTCATCACCATCATGGTAATTAATCTTGGAAGCATGGCGGCAGCCGCAGCACTAACCTCATGATGATCGTATCATGGCCGTTCTGAACATGCATGCTGTATTTCACTACACTACTGCCGATACAGTCGTCGTCGTTATCATCAGCTCCGGGCCTGCTCAGAGCAGCAATGCGATAAAATGAGGTTGGGTGGCACGACGAATTCCCGTCAGAAATTCAGGGCGGCTCTCAGCGGTCCAACAAGTTGTTCCAAACTCACCCGAGCAGAGATGTGATGTCTCATCACCTGCAAACGCGTTATACCGGTGAGGTCGCGGCAGTGTCTGCCAGTGTCCGGACGACAGCAGCAGGTCGAATTCCTGAAGAAGTCACATTGACATGCCCATGACTAGCTGGACGCTCCAGCGCATCTCTAGCGCGCACGAAGAAGATGCAGATAAAGACAAGAGAGAGGCTAGGGCATGATATTCCAAGCAGTTTTCACCCACCTGTCGCAGCACGTCTTCAGGCGCACTCCTGGGAAGCTTCAATGATTGCAGCCAAGCACACTAGCAGCGTCTCAGCTTCTCCCGAAATTTCCAGAGCAAGCAAGTCTCGTCCGCTTCACGAAGCAGAAGGATCGGCGATCCGCATCCTCCACCACGGCCTCAAAGTTTAACCGCTGTGTGATTGGTCTCGCGGCGGCTGAGCAGTCGCCTGCCATCCTGCTGTGAAGTCCCGCAGCAAGGCCAGCGGCCTGAGGGAAGGCATGCATCACATCTTTCTTGCTTGCGGCCCCCCTCGCGGATCCGTAATCAGGCCGAGCTAGGAGGGTATTTCCCCGGCCCTTTAGGATTCATGGCTTCTCCTGGGCCGTACTATCGTCGCTTTACTGATGCCTCCAGAATGCAACCGCCTCTGCCTCCATCTTCAGCTAGACCGTTGTTGCGGATACTGAGACTGTGGCCTCACCTCCAGGGCATCTTCCCCAGCCGGAACTGGGACAGTAGTTGCATGCACCTGTCAACAAGTGCACATTCACACAGTCGCCAAGTGCCCGTGCCTTCGCACTTTTGTGGCAGAGCGCCTTTGGCTTGGGCGGGGGTGACGTGCGGCAAACTGCCTGCGCAGGCCCAGGGCACAAGCTGGCTTTAAGTTCCTGCCGAGAAAAGGAAAGTCGCCTCCTTTCCTTGTGGCCACTCCCGCAGCCGGAGCTGCTTGGACCACCGCAGTGCCGCAATGAGCTGAGCCAGTGCGCAAAAAAAGTCGCAGGAGCAGGCGGGGCAGGCCCGCTCGCTTCAAATGCACAGATTCCCGGGCACCTCCGTTGCAGTGGCCCGCAGCTGTTGGATTCGCGGGCAGCCTGGAGGCAAGTTTTGGCCGTTGGTCGACTGCTGCGCTCAACTCGTGTCACTCTGCTTCGGAGTGTGCCGTGGCCTAGAAAGCTTTCGACCGCGATCCATCCTCCGTCACTGTGGATCAAGTCCTTGGGAAAGAGGCTCAGAGGCAAGGAGGACCCCCCACAAAGAGGCGAAATCCGAAATCGCCTCGCTTCGGCTCCGGCCTGGAAGAAACTGTCGGTCAACAAGTTCTCGTCACTGAGGTAATACTCCACCTGCCCAGAGCTTCCCGAAGTTCGAACCAGGCTTCACACAGACCGCCTGGCCTGTAGTCGCAGGGCTTCCATGCGCAAAGTTTCTTCCTGCAAGCAGTTTTGCGAACATTAGCTTCTCCGCTACTTGTGCTGAGGGGCTCAAGTGAATGTCTCCGCTGACAAGAACAGGCCTGTCTCGATCGTGGGGCAGAAAGACTGTGAGAAAACCTCAGTCATGGGCCCGACCCCAGCACCTTTTCTTGGATGTGTTGGATTTTTGAGTCCATGCAGACTTGACCCGACTTACGAGTACCATTCACCGAGAGCCAGGCTTGCAAGCTGCACCTTTCGTGCAACATCCCATCTGGAAGTAGTGGCACGGCGGTATCAACTGGGCACGTGACGCGTGCGCTTGCAATCTCCACCAGTGCTTTTGCTAATGCCCACATGGCTGACAGCTCCTGCTCTTTTTTGCGCTTGCAGCAAAACTGCCTGAAACTCCGAGCCTCTCAGACTGGCTGTTGGGCCATGCACGTTCAGCAGTGCTTCTCACGCTTGCTCTGAGACTCTGAGAGGTGAGCGCATCATGAATGTCAAGGCGCGGTGTACAAGTTATGGCTGTAAAGTAGCCTGAGCTGGTTGCTGCGAAAGCCTTGCATATCCTGCATTCACCATCGACTGCATCGGGACAAACACTTGCGAGGCAATGTCGAGCCAGCAATCTCTGCCTCGCTTGCCCAGTTATATCAGATCTGGCTACTCTGCTCAGTCCATATCTGACTCCTCATCGGCCATTCCACGGATGTACCTCGGCATGCACACTCTGTCAGCTGCCGTGTCGAAAGATAACTGCAGCCTGCGGAGCTGCAAGGAACCGTGAGCATGAACACATGTCTGCAATTTCTACAACTCTTCGTACAGCGGCAGAACGTTGTTGCAGCGAATGAAGACCTCCCCAAGGTTGCCCCGGAAGCTGCCGTCAACCCACTCCTGCAAAGCTCAGATTCACAGTTTGTCCAAGTAAAGAGATGTAGGAGTCTGGGCCATGATACTATGAGCACCCAAGCGGTGCATACTCAGTGCATCTTACCTCGACGAAGAACGTCTCTGCTGCAGGAACGCAAGTGGTGACCGCCGCCGCAACAATGAGTTCCGGATGTCAACAGCCCAAACAGCATGACTGCCGACGCCTCTGTGTTGAGCAGCTGGAGGTTCATGTAAGGGTCAATGGATTTCAGGGAGCCTTTGTACTCCATACCTCAAGTCCAATCTCGTCAGAACACAAGCCGCCGTTTCATTCGAACCCTACTTTGGAAGCTTTACTTCGCGGTGTGCGCATGGCTTCTGCTGGCAGCATTCAGCTGACTGATAGGGCTCATGAAATTCGGAGATTGCACTGGCATTTGTGCTGCCTCCACAAGAGCTTGCTTCACCAAGTCTGGTTGGAAAACATCCCGCTTCAAAACATCGTTCCGTGCACGTGCAACGTCGAAGGCATTGTGCATTGAAACGCGGTCCAAGGCGCCCCATTTCAGCTTGCAAAGCACTAGCTTGCCTAAGTAACAGAGCAGACGTGTGCCGGCGGACACTTGGTCACAGCAAAGTTTATCCAGGATGCCCGTAAGGTCATTCAGGAAGGGCTTCGGGTTAACTGGCACGGTCGCCATGGTGCCAGACACAGCTGCTAAGAGACTGGGGTCTTGAGCCAAGGCCAAGCACGAGCAAATCATAATGGACCACATGCCAAGAGCAACCGGCGAACGCAGCTGGAGGCTCTGCTCTTTTTTGCGCTTGCAGCAAAACTGCCTGAAACTCCGAGCCTCTCAGACTGGCTGTTGGGCCATGCACGTTCAGCAGTGCTTCTCACGCTTGCTCTGAGACTCTGAGAGGTGAGCGCATCATGAATGTCAAGGCGCGGTGTACAAGTTATGGCTGTAAAGTAGCCTGAGCTGATTGCTGCGAAAGCCTTGCATATCCTGCATTCACCATCGACTGCATCGGGACAAACACTTGCGAGGCAATGTCGAGCCAGCAATCTCTGCCTCGCTTGCCCAGTTATATCAGATCTGGCTACTCTGCTCAGTCCATATCTGACTCCTCATCGGCCATTCCACGGATGTACCTCGGCATGCACACTCTGTCAGCTGCCGTGTCGAAAGATAACTGCAGCCTGCGGAGCTGCAAGGAACCGTGAGCATGAACACATGTCTGCAATTTCTACAACTCTTCGTACAGCGGCAGAACGTTGTTGCAGCGAATGAAGACCTCCCCAAGGTTGCCCCGGAAGCTGCCGTCAACCCACTCCTGCAAAGCTCAGGGCCCTTCAGATTCACAGTTTGTCCAAGTAAAGAGATGTAGGAGTCTGGGCCATGATACTATGAGCACCCAAGCGGTGCATACTCAGTGCATCTTACCTCGACGAAGAACGTCTCTGCTGCAGGAACGCAAGTGGTGACCGCCGCCGCAACAATGAGTTCCGGATGTCAACAGCCCAAACAGCATGACTGCCGACGCCTCTGTGTTGAGCAGCTGGAGGTTCATGTAAGGGTCAATGGATTTCAGGGAGCCTTTGTACTCCATACCTCGAGTCCAATCTCGTCAGAACACAAGCCGCCGTTTCATTCGAACCCTACTTTGGAAGCTTTACTTCGCGGTGTGCGCATGGCTTCTGCTGGCAGCATTCAGCTGACTGATAGGGCTCATGAAATTCGGAGATTGCACTGGCATTTGTGCTGCCTCCACAAGAGCTTGCTTCACCAAGTCTGGTTGGAAAACATCCCGCTTCAAAACATCGTTCCGTGCACGTGCAACGTCGAAGGCATTGTGCATTGAAACGCGGTCCAAGGCGCCCCATTTCAGCTTGCAAAGCACTAGCTTGCCTAAGTAACAGAGCAGACGTGTGCCGGCGGACACTTGGTCACAGCAAAGTTTATCCAGGATGCCCGTAAGGTCATTCAGGAAGGGCTTCGGGTTAACTGGCACGGTCGCCATGGTGCCAGACACAGCTGCTAAGAGACTGGGGTCTTGAGCCAAGGCCAAGCACGAGCAAGTGGGACTCTGCAACCTGTGACCATGAAAACACCGGAAACTGCTTCTTCTAAGCCAAGGCAAAGGCTCCGAGCTTGCTGGCCATCTGCTCTTCTGCACTTCGAAGGCGGATGGTGGGGCAACTGTCGCCTGCCGAAGAGCAAAGGCTAAGGTTCCTCTCGTGTTTGGCAATGGCTTGGTCTCTTCCAGCGAATTGAGCGCTTGCCTATGGAGGCAAGAATCCGCCAACGAGCAGTCTTTTCCCACTCAAAGCTTCGATGGCTCGCTTCGAGCTTCTGCGACCACACCCTCCTTGAAGAGGACATCTACCTAACAGCGTCCCCAGAACCCCTTCCTCCGCAGCGGCTCTTGGGTTCTCTGAGGCGGCATCCTCCTGTTTTGAGTAGCCAGAGGCGACCAGCACCTGGAAGCTCTCAACGTGAAGAACCAAAGGCGGTCATGAATTGGGGTTAGCACTCACGTTGAGTTATGCCAGTTATGCTTTCTTTCGCGTCTTGGGTTCACAGTCTTTGAAGCGCCTCTCTGGTGTTCGATCCCGGCACTGGGCATGGTCTTGGCCTCAAGGACCAACAGAACGAGAAAGAACCTTGCTCACTGCATCAAGCCGAGGCCCACGCACATGGCCCGGGGTGCGGCTCAGCTTGGGTGCAGGCGCAGGCTCGTAAACGCCAGGTGCGCCTCAAAGACTGAAGAGGACATCACATGCCTTGGGCTTCGACTGAGACTCCTGCCGGGTGTCGGCTCAAAGCCTCAGTCGATACGCCCTTCAGAGGGAACGAAGGGAGGAAAAGCCGCCGAGCTCCGAGCTATGCCTTCTTCTGTTGTGAGGATGTGCAGCCTGATACGAGTAGTAAGAGCGAGGTCGATACGATTTAGTAGCTACAAATACCATCACTGAGGACCGAGCCGCCTCTGATGCATTCAGGACCGGCACGCAGCACGCGTCGGTGCCAGCAAACACCTTGGCCTTAGCACGCAAACGGATCCATGTGGATCAATCTTCGAATCCCGGGACGTGGAAACTTACCCGAGCTCGCTTCCCATTCGTCTCGAGTCTTTGTGAGAAAGATCGAGGCAAAGCGGGACTTCATTTGAGGCCAAGCCTGAAGGAACGAACAGCTGCTAGGAGCTGCCGCAGGTCGGGACTTGAGATCTGTGTCTGATTGCCTTGCGATCATACTGTGCTGGCAGCTCTTCTGCCGCAAGCCTTGCTTGGAATTGCTTCACGTGCAGCTCCCTTACAACCACTTCTCGAGAAGAGTTTTTCTGCAAAGACAGGCCTCTGACACTGGTCTGATGGAACGTTGACCATTACACAGGAGTTGAAGCCCCAACTGTTTCGCTGCAGCTGTGCGACCCAAGTCCGTTCAAGAGCACCTTGTAGAACTGGGGTTCGATCGCCTGTACCTGCACAATGCTGTGCAAAACGTAGGTGCAAATCTATCTGTCTATCTATGTACCTGCGTACCTGCCCTATCTGTCTGTCTATCCGTCTATCTATCTATCTATCTCCGCCTCTATCTCTGTATCTCCCTATCTACCTGCCATTATGTACCTGCCTACCCATGATACTCCTAATTTTTGTTTTAGAACGTGTTTGCCAACATGCGCATGCATGTATACATACATCCATACATGCATGCATGTATACGTACATGGGTACATGCATACATACATACATACATACACAAGCACGCACACATCCATGCCGAACTTGTCTACATGTACACATGCACATCTGCATAATTGTACACATATGCAGTCCTGCCTAACCATCTATCTCTTCAGCCTGATGCATGCACGAAAGCAGCCCATGTCTGCCAGCCGTGGAGCTACACTCGCTTAATGTTTAGGTGTGCTGGATGCCCAGTGCACCTGTAGATATGAAGACATCTAAGACATCTACATACCTTGCAATTTCTTGCAATTTCACACATTCCCTACCTCTCCCTCGCACAAGACTTTACAAGCTTCTGCAATGGTTCCCCCGTGACAGCCACAGGGCGCACTGAGATGTATTGATGTGTTCCTTTCTTGTCCTCAGTGTCGTTCAGCATGTTTTTACTCAGTCCTTCGCACAAATCCCTCCCGTGCCAAGCATGAACTGATGTAGAAGGACACATAGCTCAAGCAAACAATGAGCCATCGTAAGGGTACTGCTGGATCTTCTTTACAGAGATATATGTCGGACCAATGTGGAGCCTGACCTGAGCGCCAATCAGGGCGAGCACAGGCACCGGGCTCGGGGTACATACAACATTCTGCCTCAAAGGCCCCGGCATAAGATAAAGTCTGAGGCCACTACATGGCCATCACTTCCTACCTGGGTCTTGATCTCTGTGTTTGCACACTCTGCCAAGCTTCAACGCGTCTGTGTCGCTTACTTCACCCCCTGCACGAAATTTGGAGTTGCCAAAATCGGCAGACTCCAATTTACTACTAGGCAGACCGCCTTAAGTTTCCCACAGAGCCAACCACGACATCAAGTGCCCCCGAAGCAGAAGGATAGCCAATGCACGACGCGAAAGCTAGCTGACGCGAATGTATGAGAGTTGTATGACATGTTGTGACATGACTGACATGTGCAAGGGGTAACAAAGAAAGTATGAGTCACTTGATCAAGTTTGAAACTTCAAGTTTGTATCTTTGACCACAACGCCGCCATCGTTAGTGGGATGAGCAACTCCCTAACTTCTGGCTGTAATTTGCTTTAGTTCTCACATCCATCCGAGGCCGGATTCTGGAACATCCCCGCTGGCTTTACGGTCGAGTTTTAGCAAGGAATTGAATGTCTGATGCTTTCGTGCGTTAGGCCTGCTTAGTGGAAGCGGGTTCATGCATGCAGTGTTTGCAGGCGGTTGAGCGCAGCGCAAAGTTTATGCATCCAGTGAGGGTTTATTCGGTCCTTCCGAGTTTGCACAACATACCTATGCTCCCATTCCAGATGATGCGCGGAACCCTGCAAGCCGTCATGATATGTAGATGCCGAGTCTCGGGCTGGAACAAGGCCAGATTGCATCCACTTGAAAAGTGGGAGTGCCTGCTTGGATGAACTGTGAGCTGAATGAAAGCCCCCCCCAGAGCAAAGGGAGAGCACCGTGTAGTTGGCGCCATCGACCATGGCGGCATCGATGACTTGGCCACGGCCGCTCCGGCTGCGTTCGACCAGGGCCTGCGGATCCAGCTCGAGTTCGGGTGACACAAAGCAAGTTTCAAAGCGGTCGTGCACTGGAGCCCCGACAAGGAGAACACCCAGCGCCAGCATCATGGCTCCTCCTGCCTCGAGCTCACACATCCTTCTCCGCGCAAGACCAAGCCAATCCAAGTATACACGCTCATAAGATGAGGCTGGAGCATAGTCGCCCGCAAAGTTCGCCGGAGGGAAAGGCTTTTCATTCCCGCGCCTGAAGAAGTCCAACGTGCCTCTCACAGCTATCCGGCGCCAAATCTTACGGACCACGGAAGGGCTCTAAATTTGAAGCATGCCTGCCAGAGCGAGATAGTTGTTGTCATGTCCCGCCATCGAGCTGAACTCTGTTCCACCCTGGCCATATCCTCAGCTATATTAGGCAGCAACCAAGTCCAGCATTTCAGACTCCATCCCTGAATTTGCAAGAATCGATGTCGTGCTCGTCGACTAAGCTCCATGCCTGTCATGCGACCATAGATAAGGCCCGGATTCTCACTGCAAAGCACCTCATGAACGTCTCAAGCTGTACGTAACCCTGTCTCTAACGACATGCATTTGACCGTGAGCCCGGAGCCTCGGGGCCCAAACCGAGCTTCTCCACCACCTCGGGGATCAACGCGAGGCTTTGGTTTTGGCCTAGTCTACATAGGCTTTAGGACCTGTGTTTTTAGGGCCTTTTCTGTCGCCTGCGCTCCGAAGCCCATAAAGCCTTGAGGAGTTAGGCTGAGAGCTGGCACGATGCGCTGCGTCTGGCAGGTCTGGAGACCCAAAAAGCTGAGACCAGTTTGCGCTGTGCGAGTGATGTCACATTTGCGGTTGCAGCCGTTTTCGAACACTCAGCAGCCCACTCGTGCAGCATGATAGCCTTATTACACTGTTACCATCATTCTCAAATGCTGCAATGCCACTGCCGCTAGCACGAGAAGAATCGTACATCATGCGTCATCACCGACGGCAGGTGCCATGGCCGCCGCCCCAGCACAGACCAACTTCAGGCCCACCCTTTGCAGCTTTGCCAAACGAGACTAAGGCATCTGGCTACCGGAACCGGAGTGAAGCAGTTCATCGTTGCATGGAGGGGCGGCCAAAAGACCAGACCATACTATCAAGCACTTGATGTTGCTTGGTGTCGCCTTTGGGGCCTGCCTGTGCAAAATGAAAAGCAGGGATCTGTAGATAGCCTCTCATAAATGCCCTGCCTCCTAACCTCGCAAAGCTTTGTTTTAAAGTCCGTACCACTGAGTGGTTGGGAAAGCAGCAGCATGAGAGCACCGACAAAACATCGTGCGGGCACGGAAGCAAGCCCAGCGGATGCCCTGGTAGCAGGTCCGTTCCCACGTTGTCATCAGGGACCCTTTCATCTGAATCTGTCATGGAGATGGGTGTCGGTTGGTGTCGGCATCGATGTGCTTTATGAAAGGATGTGGCCGTTACAGTAATTATGACACAACGGTCACTGAGACAACCCATCCAGGGTCCCGGTCTTTGCTTCGGATTTCTTGGACAACACGCTTGGAAGCGGGGCTCTAAGCCTCTAAGCTATAAGGTGTCTTCCGGCGACAGTCGTGGACGTCACATGCATCGAGCAAATCCTTTGCATGCGCCCCTCTGCTCTAAAGCCCCACTGCAAACATTGGGATGGCATATTTCAGCTTCTGCCCTGATGATACTGCCTAAGCCTAAGCCTTTTGACCCTGTCGTTGAGACTTGGCCTTGAGTGAGATGTCTTGAGGTCACGACCCCTGGCCGGAAAGGCTCCAGGAACACGTCAACCGTCGAAGCAAGCTTCTGGACAACCTGCCACGGTGACATCGGCTGGAGCATGTTTGCTGCAACAGCAGCTGGACGAATTGTGCTCAGGAGCAATGCGCAAAGTCTTCCGGCTTCATTATTGCAGACTTCACAGATCGCCGCAATGGATCCCAAGAGATCGCAGCAGATTCAAAGTGCGCCTTCACACCCGCCGCAGTCTTGATGTTCACAGCGACGGATCCTCGACTCCAAGTTTGCTCCAAGCTGCCGATGTTTCGTTGCAGCAGTGCGCTGGGTGACGGTCGCTTGCCACGGGAAACTGGATCTCCTTGCGAGCGCGCTCGGCCTCCCTGCCTCAAGCCGCACTGGAGACTGCGCAAGTCTTTTGAAGACCGATTTTGCAGATCAGCACTTTCATACCCGTGCGAGTAAGCACAAAACGCCCGGCAAACAGTCACAACCTCGATCGCCACACTTTTGGTGCTCAGAAGCCTGTGGTAGCACAACTTGCGTGGCCGGGGGTGGCGCATCTGCACCAAAGTCTGCGAGAACACAAGCAGCCAGTGGGCATGGCCCGATGCCTTCGAAAGGATTCTCACACCGCTTAGTCAAACAGTGGCATGATGATGCTGTTGCAGATGAGAATGATGCGGTGATTACGGACGCAGATGGTAGAATGTAGTGACTTAATATTGGCTTCATAGTGCTTAAGTATGAAGGGACGTCTAGGGCGCATTTGCTTTCATGCCTTCATGTCCCAAAGGTTCGTGCCGACACTTTCCGAGCGCGTCACCCTCCAGCTCAAGCACTCTCACGCCATGCAAAGCCATTAGCGCTTCGGCACAGGTCCGCTTAGCACGCACCTTCACTGATCGGGTTTAGTCGACTGTCTGCAGTGTTGCAAGAAGACTGGTCTTCACATACGCGCCGGCCATGTCTCTCAAGCATCTTGATGGAAGCCTAACATGAGACATCCTTTCTGAGCCGACGCTTGAGCAAAGATGGTTAGCAGTAGCGACAAACAAATCCCAGGTCTGGCTGGTCCGCTGCGCTACTCCTTGCAGGTGCTCTCTTCCAACCTGCCTGGCTTTCTTGGTTCCAGAGCGAAAACCTTGGTCCACGTGGCAGTGGGAAAGGCTTCGTGCGTCATTGCACCCAGGCGGCCGGGCATCCGCATGAGCGTTCACGAAATTCTGCACGCCTCCATGCGACTGCACGACCCAGCGATGGAGGCTGCCGCCTTCCTGGCCCGAGGTTGGACCGGAAACTCCTCAGACTCCGCTTTGCCAACATCTCTGCCTCCCGGTAGATGTATCCAACAGCGCTAGCAGGTCGGCTACCGCCGTTCCACCTTTCCACACTCGACGAAAATTTGAAAATGAGCACCGAAAGCAGATTGACAAAAAGGTCCCAAAACAATGGCGCTCTGCTTTTCCTATATTAAAAAACCACTTCTCAAGTCGAGCCCACAAGTTACTTGTTGCAGCTCCTTGAGGCTCCATGCTTCGAAAGACCATCCCGGGAGTTTCCGAAAATTAGGGGTACCCGTTTTTGGGGGTCCTGATGAGAAGGATCCTACTACTTAGAGTACTATACTAGGCTCCCCTATCTTCGGAAACTCCCAATACAGTACCGGGTGCTACACCTCCCACTCCAGCTCTGGCCAAGTTGAGCCGAGCTTTCTGAGCTTTCTAGAGGCAACAGCCACACATTATCCGCCTTGCATGCTACAGCCAGCTTAGGATCGCCTTGGAAAGGGAAGGTTTGAGACGCCCGGAGAGTGGATGGGGGAAAGCCATGACGCCAGCGCTAGGTCTGGTACTGCAAGAGCTGCGCCAGCGCGAAGACGGTTGCATCTTCGCCACCTGGATTTTGAGACTCGTGGCAAACGTGTGCCAGAGTGCAAGTTTCGAGCTTTTGGCCATGGCCTTCTGGGATCTTCCAGTAGGCCATGGCCATCCAGCGTGCATCTCAGCTTCAGGAGGGGAAAGGATACCTTTGTGCAACGTGGTCTGGGTTTGTATTTGTGGGCGAGGCCGATGCCGACTGGCTGCTTGCCTTGTCGTTCGTCTCTTCTTGGTTATGTGTGCGCATGTTGTGCAGTATTGACGGAGCTGAGCCAGGATTTTAACTGCTAGAAACCCAAGTGACACAAGTGACAGGTGCGTGGGATAATGTAGATGAGTACTGTAGCCGAAAGGCCGCGGAGTGCCTTTGCGCGTCTCATGCGGTTCCAACCAACTTGCAGCGCCTTTCGGCAGAGCGCTTTTCAGCAGAGCTCGCGAGCGGAAAGCCGGCAAAGGAGCTCATTGAGATGCCGAGAAAGCCAGCGGGGTTCCTCGGCGGCTCAGCTCAAAGCGTCAGCTAAGCATGGGCGACGGCACAGTTGCATGCAAGCTTCTGCTGGGCCACGAATAAGGGATCCTCAGGAGAACGAGAAGGCAGTACTCGCCACTACTCTACGAGGAACAGCGGGTTCAGCAGTGGTACTTGCATCTGAGCAGTCCTGGGCAAGAGAATTTTCGCAAAGAATGTTGGCCTGGAAACGGCGATACTCTGACAGACCCACTGCATTCGAATCAGTTCTGGATAGTACTGCAGTAGTGTCCTGTTGAGCTCGTGAAATCTTGCCTTGGCTTCGAGGAGCAGGGATGCGGCGGCACTTTGCCCAGCGAGGGCTGCGTAGTGCAAGGGTGTCTCGCCCAACTGGTCTTGTGCGTTGGGGTCTGCATGCAGTCTCCTCCGCTGATATGCATGAAATGCAGCCCCTGCTGGCTTCGGTGTTGCAGAACACCGCAGGGTTCTCAAACATGCCAGACCATGGTACCAGATGCAGACAGGCTTGAGGAGCATTTGTCTGCGTGCGTGCGTGCGCATTCGTGTGTGTCTCTGTATGAGGTCTTTTGTGTATGCGTTAATACGTGTATGTGTAATATGTATATATATATATATCCACACACACACACACACATATCGCGCATTTCTCGCATTTGGGGCGTTGTGTCCGATTCGGGCGCGGCCCTTTGGCATGCATCTAATTAGGGAATCCTCGTGCAGAAATCTGGACACGTACCAGTATGCGCTAAGGCTACATATACATTTGTATATATATATATATATATATATATAGAGGTAGTTTGTATAATACAGAGGCGGGTTGAAGTTGAGAGAGTGCGAAAAAGAGAGAGAGAGAGAGAGAGAGAGAGAGAGAGAGAGAGAGAGAGAGAGAGAGAGAGAGAGAGAGAGAGAGAGAGAGATGCAGGAGAGGGAGATGCAGGAGAGGGAGTGGCAAACACTGCATGTCCGGTAGGTTGTATCACATTATGTCATTCCGATTGCCATCTCGGTGGAGGAACTGACGCAAAGCCAAGTGGCAGCAGTGCTCTCATAGCTTCCATGGACCCAGCTGCAGCTGCAATGTGCAACGCCGTTTCACTGTGGGCACCCTGCAAGCCTTATTGCATCAGACAAATTTGAGCCCACCATCCACCGGCCTTGTGCGAGCAATACATAGCAATGCGTGCTTGTCTGAGACACCAGCTGGAACCGTTGATAACAAGGGATGGATTCATGCAAATAGCTTTGACCTCCTTCACTGGCAAGCAATGCAAGCCGAATAGCTGAGCTGCGAAACGCCCCAAGCGGTCCTCATCGTCATCACACTCCGCAGCTTCGCGGAGCACTGGCCCTGCGACCCAAGCAGTGCAGCGTTGAAGCCAGCAGTCAACCGAAGGGCCTGCTCCCCACCGCTGGAAGCGTCGATCGATCTGATCGTAGATCGCTTGCCCGTGACCTTGCTTGATGTGGAGTCGTTCTGTGTGATCGATGCTTCGTTCGCATGGCTGTTGCTGATGCAACAGCAATACCAACAAGTCGGTACAACACAGCATCTAGCTTCTGCCGGCCTTAGCACGTCTTGCAACCCCTGAATTTGAGCAAGGCGTCCTCGCGATTCGAAGTACTCCTAGACAGCGCATGAAACTTTTTCGAGGCGGGCAATCGAGAGAACATCGGTCGAGTCCTTGATGGATTGGAGCTCACATGCATCCGCTCTGCAGTTGCGGCTGGAAACATATTGCATGCTGCGCCCAATGTCCGCGTCGAACCTGCGGCCCGGGCATGCAATAGTGCTGTCACAGAGGACGACTGCTGTCGCCTGCCGAAAACCCAGCTGCCATCCGCAAATGGACAGCTGCATGCCAGTGCTCCTGGTGGCTCACACTGTCTCGATAGGATGCATGCAAGCATCCAACTATTTTAATTAGCATCAGCTAGAAGATCTTCGGATGCAGGCTGTAGCAACATGACGATGACAACCATGCCCCTTTCTGCAAATCAATCATATGCTTGTGCTCAGCATGATAAGAGACGTGATGTCTTCTGCCAACGAGCAGAACTCCGTACGGGCAAGTGTGCATCTGCATGGCAGAACATAGCAGCAGGTGGCCTGTCGCGCAGGCCAAGTAGATGTCCAAACCTATCTGCCGCAAGCCAAACGAAGAACGTACGACACACGTTCCATTCAGCAGATCTCGTGTTGGTGAATTAATGTGAATTACTTAACAAACCTCATTAAAGCCTTTTCAGCAAGAACTGCAGTGGCACTCTTGACCGAACCAGTTCTGCCGGGAAGCCATTCCGCGATGCAAACTCGAACTCCAGAAACCGCCACGCACTTGCCATCTCGGGAGCGTCATGATCAAGAACTCCCAGCATTGCCTGGCATCTGCAGGGCAGAGCAGATACCGCCAATTTCTGCCACGCGCCTGGCACTCCAAGAGCTCGTCTGCCGCCGGGAACGCGACACCCTTGATGTGCTCTGCCGAATCGATGTCTCTTTGCTCTCCGGGTTCCTTGGATCCTTCGGGTCTGGATGACAGGAAGTCCACAAAAAGCACCGCCGAGTCCGGCAAATGAAGAGCCTCTGCCCACCAGTCCTTATTCAGCTGCTGCGAGCATGAAGCGATGGACAAGGCAACCCAAGCTTCACCCGAACAAGATTCGATCGCGGCCGCAGCATCGCTGATTCGAGTTCCCAGTGATAAACTGATATAATACTTCGGCAGCTGCGGACCAGCTGAAATAACTTCCATGTAGGAACCTCAGGGTGTCGGGTGAAAGCTCTCGCTTGCTAGCCAACACGAGGAGTGGGGCAGGTGTGGCGATTTAGCAGAAGGAGTGAAGGAAACCTGTGAGCAGAAGTCTTCAGTCTGTTTTTGGGCCTGGGCACGCCTCGAGGCGCTGACTCGCGGCTTGATGAAGAAGTTATCGATGACACGCACTTCAGCATCTTGAAAGCTCGAGCACGGCGGAGGAGTGTCGACATCAACCCAGCGCCGCTCGCACCAGGCAGCCTCTTGTTGTTGCGGTTCTCTCCCATACTAATACTAATACTATCAACAATGCTGATGCACTTGATGGACTTGCTTCCAAGGCCAGCCAAGCTTCGGCCGCCCGAAACACGACGATTGCCAAACACCCCCAAGTAACAGAAATAAAGGCCCACGGACCAACGCTTTGTGGATCGGAGAGCCCATTGCACACACATGAATGGCTAATACGGATCATGTCAGCAATCCGAGAAGTTCAAATCCCTCTCAGCTTACGATATGTCAGCCACAGATCAGTATTGTACCACATGATACTAGTCGTAGGAGAAAACAGTAGTATCAAGGTAACAGCAGAAGCAGCAGGAGGGGGAGGAGGAGGACAAGGAGGAATGGGATTGGGAGTATGAGCAGCAGTAGTAGTAGTAGTAGTAGCAGTAGTAGTGGTAGTGGTAGTAGCAGTAGCAGTAGCAGCAGTAGTAGCAGTAGCAGTAGCAGCAGCAGCAGGAGCAGTAGTAGGAGTAGGAGTAGGACAGCAGCAGTAGTAGCAGTCGTAGTAGTAGGAACAGGAGTAGCAGCAGCAGTAGTAGGAGGAGGCGGAGCGGTCGTCGTCTTCCTAGTCCTATAGTTCTAGCCTTTACGGTGACTGGGTAGTAGTGGCAAGGCTAGGAGCAGGAGCAGCAGCAGATGAAAATCATACTGATGCCACTGAGCACAACACGAACGTCACTCGCACGCAAAAGTGACAGGAACAACAATCTCAAGCACAACCGTCACCATCACAACCAACACCGCCGCCTTCATCACCTCCATCATCATCATCACCATCCATCGTCGTTCTGAAGTCTCATTATCAGCACGATCGCTCTGATTTCCATGTTGGTTTTACCATGTCTGCAAAGTCTAAACATGTACTCATGTTGTATACAGATCGGGCCTCGGCCTGACGCGTGAAGGCACGCCATTGCCCCAGCTTCACACCTCTCAAAGCTCGAGGGGTCGGAGAGGAGTCTGAGGGCCCAGGAGTGCGGGGTTTAGGAAGTTTAGAGCTGACTTTCTCTGGATACGTGTGTTTTAGTGAAGGGGAGCAAGATGATGGAGCTTTGCACCTCTGTGCTCCTTGCGCAGCACATGGCAGCCGTGCAGAAGATGACTTCGTCCAACTGTCGCGTAGACTTCGACGCGCACCATCATATTTAACTCCTCGAAGACCTTGGAGTGGTCTTTGAACAAGCAAGCTTCGTGCTCGTATTCTCCCTCACTGCGTGCATCATGGTCATCGTCTCCCTGGTGCAGCAGCGGCCGGCCATGATCGCGCAGCAAGCGACCATCCGCCCCCACCTGCAGGCCTTGAAATTCGTCGATGCCGGCGATGTAGTTCAGGATTTGACGTCGGTATGCATCCTCAGTGCCAGCAAGTCGTGCTAGCTGCTAGCTAGTGCCACTGCCACAGCGAAACCCAAATCGTAACTCCCAGCCCACTCGAAAGCCACAGAGTTTGAGCTGGCGAACCTCGGAAGCGTTGGTTTGGCGAATGTCCCAAGCCTTGATGGCTTCGATCAGTGGTCCGGAAGAGGCACGCCCAGAGGAGTGACCCACCAATCCTGTTGAAGGAAACAGGTATAAGATATGATTATTAATAACAGTAGTAACAAAAGACACATGAAGTATAGAAATGCTGGAGCCGTATAAATGTGTGTTAAAAGGCATCTGGAGGATAACTTGGTGAGAGCAACTGCGACTGTAACTGTTTTCATGAGATTGTGGTGTCAACAGCTAACAATCCCCATGCAAAAGAAGGAGACAGCTTTTCAGGAGAAGTGCGGCAAACGTCCTGACGGGGTGTAGATCAGCAGACGCTTCTGGGACTGGATTGTCAGATAGAGCTCCAGGCCACACCACACTCTGCCAAGCGATCCAGCTGACCGATCCACAATCAGGACCTGAAGCGCACTGAGACAGTGATGATTCGACGTCTTAGATGCCTTACTTGTGTAATCCATACCACAATGCAACATAGAGCAAAATGCAGAGGCAGGGACTGTGAGGTCTGCAGCGGCCACGGTTCGATAGAATGGGCAGCTAGCCAACCTATCGCCGAAGTCCTCACCCCACTGGTTATTTGCAAAAGTGCAAACCCAAAGCGGGGTACTCCCAGGAAGGGCTTCGTCCACGCAAAGCTCCTGAATAACACGCATGAAGTCTCGGAATCTGCCTCCCCACCAATGGCTGATCATGAGCCGCGCTGGCTGGGGCTTGTGAGCTACGAACTCGCTCCAACTGCACCATTCTTGTGCCATCTGAGCATGGGGAGCTCCTTGTATTTTGGGATTCACATAGGGGATCACCTTCTTGATAACCTCAGATGTGATGTCGTACATGTTGATGTCGAACCATGTAATGTATTCGTCATAGCACCCAGTCTCTTTGGAGTGCTGAGAGCTGTGCTTCAACAGCAGGGCCTTGCACAGCCGCTGCAGAAAAAGCGACAGCTGCCTCAATTGCTTCACCGTGACGGCCCGTTCAGTCAAGTTGGAAATACGCGTTACAACGAAGCCGGGATCCGGCCAAGGCAGCGACATCCTTGACTTGGGCAATAAACGGCCTTCTGCGACATGCATAAGCAGCCACCACCTGAGGCTTTGCGTCAAGAGACTCCCTTCATTTTGTCTGGGGAGGTGCAGGTGGGTGCACCCCAATGTCGACGTCAGCGGAGGGTTCATGCTTTGTTTAGTTGGGTCGTCAGACTCAGACTTCCTTTTCCTGGCCCGCTCCTGAAGATGTCCTCTCCTATGGTACGAAGCATGCGTGCGCCTGAATCGCGATGATCGTCCTAACTCTTGCAGAAGAAGTTGTAAGCTGAAGTGTACATATTCAAACTGACGAAGCATCGACTGCGCCCGCCTAAAGAATTGAATTCCCGGCACCTGACACGTGCGGACAGTTGGGATCCACACGTCTAAAGACTTTGAGCAGAGAAGCCGCGAATTGTCGCATCTGTACAACAGCTATACCGGAGACAAGTAAGATCACTCTGCCTCCTCCGTTCCTGAAGCTTGCCGCTCAAGCCCATTCATGTGGATACACCCACATCGATATACTGATATACGTGTTAATAAAACCGACTTACCTACGTGCCCCGTGTGCGGCAGCTTGGCAGGTAGACCTCTCCTGTGCAAAGGTCCCATTCAGTTGCACTTCATGGAAGTGCTCGCCGCTCTCGCATGGCGGCTCATGAATACTAACGAATTCAATGCTTAGTGCTGGTCCGGATGGAAAGACCGCCACTGCTTCCGACCTACGCGAGCCTTCCTCCACACTCGGCTCTGGTCGACTCCTTGGTTCTGGGTCTCCTCAAAACGGGTCGCAGGAACTTCGCAGCTTTCAATGGCAAGGCATGGGCATGGCCTGGTGAGGAGCTGAACCGGTTGAACCAGCAAGAGTTTCTGTAGTGCCTGTTGTTCCAGTGCTGTCCACAGCATGGCACCTCGGACAAGAAGGACATGACTTTCTTTCACCGGTCACTCGACGTAGCACCATAGATGAGGAAGCCACGAATACACGGCCAAAACTAGAGTCTGCTGTGGAACCCTTTGGCTTTAACCAAGCCTGAAGCCGCAAATCGTCTCAGCAAAGCGGCTGAGACTTGTGATGGTCCTGGCTTTGGCATGGATCGGCTGCTGCGAAGCATCTCGCGTCTTCCTGTTGGCCGGTGTGTTGCTTTGCCATCGAGGCGCTTGTTCAGGGGTGTGTGTGGACATGCACACGGAGGACTACCCAGCCCCAAACCTAAGGCCCTGTGCCCGAGCCTTGTCGCTTTCGTCTGCAGCTTTCTGTGAGGGGAATTCCGTGAACACGGCCTGGGGAAGACTTGAACAAGAACGGTAGAGGAAAGCCACAACAACAACAACATACACATGCACCCGTCTGTTCGAGGAGAAGCACAGCAAACAAAGGCAGCAACTTCGATACTCTGAGCCAGCCGCAACCTGGAGGAGGTGGTCCGAAGGGTAGCCGCCTTGGCTTCAGTTGCACCCCTCGACGCCCTGGGAGGTATCTAAAGCAAATATATAAAACAGATCACGGAAGCACACAAATGGAGGAACCACTGTGACAAGATCTAGCAACTTAGCACTGAACCAGTCGCTCAGGCTTTCTATATTGGTTCATACATTTTACAAATTTTTGTAAGTGCTCTTACGTAATATTTGTATAGATATATAAGAGAGGTAGACAAGGACAAGGACAATCAGACCTATAGGTTTAACTGTGATCACAAAAATGTCTGATATGCAGTAACATAGCAGTTGTGCCGCGTCATTGGCCAATGATGGCCCTGTGAAATTACAGTGTGCCTATGAACCCACAGTATCCAATAGTAGCATGGCAGCAGATGGAATAGTGCTGTCACGACAACGTCGGCTGCCTCTTCTCGGCAATATTCCGACACACTGCGCCCTGGGACTATTGCTGCAAAGTCTGAGACCAATGCTGCCGAGAAGTTGCACACAATTTAGCCTTGGAGTGTTGTGCAGATGCGAAGATTGGATTCGAGGTTGCAGGCTCCGAGTTTCAGACTGCCCCTCGCAACTTCGAGGCAGCCCAGTCAAGACTGCTAACCTGGGAGTTTGTCAGGGATCCGTGCGAGGTTGGGACAGTCGCAACTGGGATCAACACGGCTGAAGAGAGCCGTCGTGCATGATGAGGTCGGAGGATGCGCCCTCCGCGAACCTGAGACCCACTCTGGCTGGCCACAGAGCACTGGCACCTCAGTTTTGCCCCAACCCTCTGCTTACTTTAATCCTGACCCTAAACCCCAACCCGAAACCCTCAACCCTGAACCCTAAATCCTGCACCGTCTGTAATGCATAAAGCCTGAAACTTCTGGGAAGGACCCGGGAAGCCTCCCTTCCGAAGCCTCGAGGCCGATGTGCCGGGATGTCTGCCCAAGAGCTGAAAGCAGCTGCTGTGCCTTAGGACTCGGGGTCCTTTAAAGGGTTCTTAAAAAGAGTCCTAATTATCAGGGCCACTATCAGGGATCTATAGTAGGGTTCTGGAATATAACAGCCTTAATAATGATGAGTGCAAAACTGCTAATGGCGACCCACGCGATTCCACGTGAGTCATGCAGCATGTTATCGAATGATACTTATGACATTCCATTTCCGAGGCCGCGATTCCGAAACTGCTGAATTGAGGTTTGCACCAAATGTTTTGTCCAACCTTCCAGGCGTGTCACACTTCAGGTCCAGCATCCCTTGCAGCAGCGCACTGCTCTCAGTCTCTGCCTCCGAGGCGTTAAAGCCAGATGGCGAGAAGGCAGCAGCCTGACGACGGCAACACAGAAAATCATTGATGAAGAGCGAAGCGCACATCCAGTTTGAACAATACTCACCACGTCCCATCCTCGCCGAGCCCTTCCAACACATCCTGAGTCAACAATCAGCATTCCCTGCACCCTTCGGAAGAAACTTGATAGAGCCGTGGATGTTCCCAGGGGTCCTTTGCTGACAGGCCGAAGTCTCCGCACCACACCGGCCTGGAACAGTGATTCTGGAACTCAGCGAGGCGGTGGACTTTCCAACCAAGGCTTGGCTTGGCTAAACACAGCCTGAGGGATTTGCCTTGCATCTTGCGAGGCAGCTTTCTCCAGGAGCTGCGATTGCAAGGGAGCCAACCTAGACCGCGCACAAAGCACAAATTAACAAGCCACTGCAAGGACGCTCTCCCAGCTTGGATCCAGGCTCATGCAAAAGCACCTCCTTTTCAAGCTGCTCACCTGAACTGTGACACGTGCAGGATCTTTATCGGCCACGGCAGCGACAGGCGCTACAGTAAGTCACAGGCCCCACTCGATTGCATAGACGCCAGGTGATTTGCTGCAGCAAACCACCAGGTCAGGACACTGAACTCGAGATGCGAGCCTTACTTCAGCAGCACGGAGTGACTTGAATTGCAACACAGAGTTTTGGAATGCGCTGGACAGCTAAGCTGGATGCTCTACGCACACTGCACAGTTCGGGACGGTCCAGAAGTTCTTCAACTGCAAGAATTAGAAAGTCTCACGTTGAATCTCGAACTTTCGTGGCGTCGGCGAGAAGCCTGCCAGCGGTTGCGCTTCCAAAACACCTCAGTCAGGTCTTGCACCTACGCGACAAGCCCTGTGTAGACCTTGAATGCAGCTGGAGAGCCGCATTGCCCAAACAAACTGTTGAGCTTCCAGGGAGACGCATGGCTGGCGAGAAAGCCACACCTGAGGCAGCACTGGAGACGAGACAAAGCCTTTGGCTGGGACTGTTCAGTGTGCTGATAGCTCTTGATAAGCTAACGACCATAGTTTTTCATAGCCAATTCTCTGTACAAGTGTACCAGATGGTTCCTGCAGCAGGCTGCTGCATCTGCAGTACGTCGTGCAAATTGGGTTGTAGAGGTCCCCGCATCACGGGCTCCTGGTCGCTACCTGGGTGCCCATCAGCTGCTGGCCCCAACTGACCAGTCTTTCGGAACACTGCTCTGAGCTGCAAGCTAAACCACTCCCCGTGAGTCTCACTGCACCTATCGCTGTAGCCAATGCTTTGGATTCCTTGGACCTGTCCGCCGCGGCTATCACACATGCAGAACAGCTCGTGCCGCAGAGAGCGTGAGCTAAGTCGCAGACAGAAATCACATCCGCAGGATGCCACAGCCTGCCATTCGACACTGCTAGCTGCTAGTGCTAGACACTGCATGAAGGAAGAACATGGACATGCTAGTTTCCGTTTCCAGGAAATTCCGCCGGTTGTGCAGCTGTCGCTTGATCCGCTGCAGTCTTGTCTCCCAGTACACAACCTCGCACATTCTCCCAGGATCCGTCACGTGCCTATACGTGCCTACAATCCCTGAGCCAGCAGCATTCGGATCCAGCTCGCCCTTGGCGATGGCCTCTCACGACGAAGCATCCGAGCATGGTCTGGGTCACTGGGATCATTTGGCCCACTGCTCAGCATTATGCTTGGCTGGCCTCTTCCGCCTCCTGCACCTTCGGCGACAGTCTGCAGGAGATGTCCGACGACAGCGAATACGACCTACAGGCCAGGAGCTCAGGTTTCTGGTGACTTTACAGCATGAGTTTATCCTCGAAGGCACCTCTAGCTCATCTAGCTTCTACCCGCGGGAGACGCTTAAGCTTGTAAATGCATCGCTGCTTCGAGACGGCAGTGCTGAGGGCATCGCATGACCAAGAACACATGTTGAGGCAAAGCCTTGCGGTGCTTGTGGACATACGACAAAGCTTGGTCGTGCTACGGTTGCCGGCATGCCTCGATGTTATCCAGGCCCGCATTGATCTCCGGCTCTAGCATGCTCTCCACTTCCGCGCACCTGAGATGCGATACTCTGCGCTCTAAGTCAGGAAAAGATGTGTGAAGATCTGTCAAGCCTGAAAGAATCATGAATCTGCTCTCACGGAGACTGACAGAAAAGCACCAGGGACAAGAACTGTGAGTCGGCTAAGACTTGAGCTCTTCTGTGGTCTGGAAGAGCCTGTCTGCGTCAAGCTGATCCAAACGTTCAAGGCTTGCAACCCTCCAGCCCTCCAGTTCACCACATTCAAACTGTCTCCCGCACCGGAACGCTGGCATATACGACAGCTCCAGCCTAAGTGCAGTACAAAGCCATGCACCACGCGAAAGGACTGCCATGCCCCAAGGCTTCAACCAAAGTTCGGACTTAGTCCAACTTCCACGAGATTTCCACTCCTGCAGCGAGAAGCTTTGGAAGCCGCTGGGCCAAGCGTGATTGCTTTCTGATTGCAACCGAGCAAAGTGCCTTTCTGTAGCCGTGCGACGGCAAGCGCACCGGCAACTCCTGGAGTGCCCAGGTGAGTGCTCAGCACTCAGCACCAATGCATGGCCGAGTTTTCGCCAACCTCGTCCGTTTGCAAAGCAGCCGCTAACAAGTCGCTGTGACGGCTGCGATCATACCTCAGGAACGACTTGCATGTTCTCAGTTTGCTGCAAGCTCCGAATGAGCTGCCAAGTGCGGAGCATTGCGAACCTTTTCTGTATCCGAGGCATGTAGCAAAGCTCCTCGGTGTGATCTGAGGAAGCATGAGCCCAGGTAGAGAATGAACCAAAGATGCAACGTGTCCTGAATCGAAAACCACAGGCGAGTCTGGTGCTTGAGAACCTAGTATGCGGCGTCGCTCTTCGTTTGACACTCTGCCGGTCTCCCGCTTCCGCAAACCAAATACTGTGCGAACATCTTAAGCATCCGGCTCCTTTTGCTCCGCTCTGTGCCTGCTGAAATCGATAGAACCACACTTGCAATGCCAACTCCATGACTCGACGGTCTGTCAGTCGGCACGCAGAACTTTTTGCCCAAGCTGAACCAGCTCGTGTCAGGTGAAGGACATTCACGCGGTGTGCGCCTTTTGGAGTGAAGCACAATCGCCAGATCACAAAGCAGTCCAAAGTGACGAAGGTGTCTAAGATCCACACCCCCGGCCATTGAAGCGTCTGCCCGAACAGGAAGTGCTGAATCACAGGAAACTTTCCAAGGACCTCTGTCCAGGATAAAACAAGCTTCGCATTGGCAGCAAGCCGCTCGTGCCTCTGCCCTCCACATCTTGATCAGTCCAGTCAACCTGAGCTCCCGTGCTCCAGCAATACAGGGATGACAGCACAAGCAGGCACCGACACGTCACGGACTATCAAGCCGCGGCCCCCGCGTCCGCTGCCAATCAGGCACCTTGGCAAACGACAGCCACAGCCACCCCCCCAACACCGCCGAACATCATCCGAAGGTGTGGCAGATATGTAAGCAGCATGCTGAACTGATGTCATAGAGGTACGGCGAAGTCTCATGAAATGCGGCACCTCGCTTGGAGAGGAGGACCTCATTTCCACGATAAAGCAGAGAAGACACCGGAAACTTGTGCTTCCCGCTCCGGCTTCAGGAGGCCACTTGTCGTATCGCATCGACCTTGGCGAGACCCATCGAGGACCAAATTTCGGTTCTCAGTAGCGTGAGTTCTCTTAAATCCATGCAGGTGGCATACATGTACTCGTCCGCGAACTGCTCAACGATCTGGCAGGGACGAGTAAAGAAAGCGATTGCTCGGAGCATGGCATTGCATGTGTGTGTGTGTGTGTGTGCGTGTCTGTACATTCATACTTGTCACTTGTTCAACACCGAGTCGGCTACTCAATTCTTGAAACTTGTACTAGAGATTCTCAGCTCAAGATCGGCCGGGCCTTTTCTCTGTACACCTCGCCGGTGGGGACCTTCCAAATGGCGCGTAAAACCCAAACAATTCAAGCCCCTAGTACGACCGATGAAAGGTGATAATAGAAGAAAGGCACAAGCGTGGATACGACAGAAATGGATCGGAAAGCGAGGCTGGAACTTCTTTCAACAGCCTTTCGAGCAGATGGTATGAGACTGTACGAGATGGCATTCCCTGAGCTTCGTGGCTTTGGAAGAAGCCTTAAGTTTGCCTTGAAACCTAGGCTCTCCACACGCAGCGACTAGAATTTAGCTAAGTACGGGATGACTCTGAACGAATCCTCAGTCTGTGAGTCCGGTCATTCAAACGTGGCACACCTAAGCTATGATTGTGAATGTTTCTGAACCCGGCCTCATCTTCTTTACCAATGAGCTGCGCAGCTCCAAACAAGAAGGGTAAGTGATGGTAATCCTAAGTCGTGAAGCAAGATTGAAACGGCGGCCCACAGCTGTTCACGTGGCCAGGGGCACCGCGTCTAGTCCCCAAACACCATGCGAGCCTCGCAGAAACTGCGTCGTCCGCTACGTGTACTGACTATGAACTATTGCCTGTTGCTGATGCACTGTCCCAGGCTGCTAGACTATCTCCGGAACTAGCACGACACCAACTTCATTCTGTGCAAAGGCCTGCTGGCTCCAACATGTAGACCTCAAGCTGACCAGAGCATGCACATGGCATCACATAGGATATGATGTTTGACGATGCGACTACTCTAAGTCCGGCTCCTTCTGCAAACGCCGCATCACTCGGATGTAGTCCGTGAACACCTTCTGACCAACGTGGTGTATGGGGGCGCTATCAAATCGGTGACCTGGACCTTGTCTGAAACTTTGCCTAAACTCATGCCCGAAGCTGTGCCGAATTGGAAAGGTCGAGCGAGACACATAGACACATGTCCCTTGCGCTTCATCTGTTCAGCCAAGATGCCACAAGCACTGCATCAGCTGCATCTGATCGGGCGAGGACTCCGGTCCTGAGGGAAAGTCTAGCGTGTAGGGGTCTGAAGGGGTCTTCCCTACGATTGCTCTCGGCGGAAGCCCGCACAAGCTCCGCACGCTCCCAAAGCGAAAAGTATCGCGAGAAATGCGACCTGCCCATCTGCTTATCGGGGCTCCCCCAAGCTGGTTTCCGCAACTATCTGCTTCACGGTGCCTCATGGCCGGTGCCATAGTCAATCCGCCTTTGGAGAAGGCATTGAGAATCGGCTTTCAACATCCCTGACTGCCCTCGCCTCTCATCACCAAATGAGCCCCGAAGGTAGTGTGCCAGCTCCGACGAGAGTGCTGCAACCTGGCCAAGCGTGCAAGCTAGCGTTAAGGAGGGCTGCTGAACAGTCCATCAGAGCCAGCGCTGCCTGCTCTGCTGATGCTGTCGGCGCCTTTCCTGAGGCGGATGCTCACGACGCGGCTGTTGCACTGGAAGTCAACATGCCGGTCTCAGCGTCGCACTTAGAGCTTCCGCCAGAAGGCCTTCGCCTTTCTCGCACAGTCGAGCATGCCTGTCGACATGTTACATGCTGTGACATTGCAGAGAGCCTGTGCAGAACATACCGTTCTTTGAGTTCCACACCATTGCCGGAAAGCTTTGTTTCCAAATCGCATCGGTTGGGGAATCGGCGGGAAGTCATCTATCCATCGCCTCGAAAGTGCGAATGTTTTGCGACGGGCAGCGACAGCGTACCCGACACTGCCGATGCTTGCTGTGGCTGAGAAGCGCGACTCCATTTCTGACAGCATGCTGGATAATCCGAGCACCTGAGACGAGGTCCATGACAGTTCAGGGGGCTTGGCGTCACAGCTCTTCAACGCAATACCACACTTCAGTGTCATCGAAGGTCACGAGGCCAGCACCAGTGGTGATGCTTTGTCTCTTCTGGCCGACGTCATGGGCAAGCCCTTCGACGCCTCTTTCCACTGGGCACACCGATGCAGATGGCAAGGCGGGATCGTAACGGAGATGCGGCATCAACACATGAGGGACCTGGGACCTGAGGACTCGCGAACCATGGCTACTGTTGCTGTTGCTACTACCGACTACCAGTACCATCACCACCACCACCACCACCACTGCTACTCTTGCAGCTGCTACTACTACTACTGCTACTACTGCTGCTACCACTACAACTACCACTACCACTACCACTACTACTACTACTACTACTACTACTACGACGACTACTACTACCAATGCTACTGCAACTGCTAGTTCTACTAATCTACTACCTACTGTACTACACATACTCCTCCGACTACTGCTATTATAACGACCACCACGACCACCACCACGACTACATGGCTATGATTAGCACTGCCACTGCTACTGTACTGCGACCACTAAAGCACCGCCACCACCACTGCGACCGCGACCGCAGCCACCGCCACCGCCGGCACCGGCACACCCACGACCACCACGACCACTACCGCGAACAAGACGAATAACATCAAGCAGAAGACCGACACTGCAGCCGCCGCCACCACCACCACCACCAGCACCAGCACCGGCACCGGCACCAGCCCCAGCAGCAGCAGCAGCAGCAGCAGCAGCAGCAGCAGCAGCAGCAGCAGCAGCAGCAGCAGCATCAACAGCACCAGCACAACGACAACAACAACAACAACAACAGCAACAACAACAACCACAACCACGACCACGACCAAAACCACAACCACAAACACAACGACAACGGCAAAAGCAATAACAGCAGCAACAGCAACAGCACATGCTACGCCAGCCAACACCACAACAACGACAACGACCGCAACAGCCATTGCGACAACAACAAGAACAATAACAAGAGCAACAACAACAACAACAACAGCAGAAAACACAACACCAACAACACCAACAACACCAACAGCACCAACACCACATCAACACCATCACCAACACCAACACCACCAACGCCACCACCAACAACATCAACAACGACAATAACAACCAACCAGCAACATTAACAATAGCAGCAACGGCAACAGCAACAGCAAAGGCAACGACAGTCATCAGCAACAACAAACACTTAACCAGCAGCAGCAGCAGCAGCAGCAGCAGCAGCAGCAGCAGCAGCAGCAGCAGCAGCAGCAGCAGCAGCAGCAGCACCAAAACCAGCCCCACCATCTCAACTGCGAGGTCCGTCGATTGTTAGTCGCTGGGCTAGCTACGGCTAGTTGCCTTTCGAAAGTAGCTGCTGCTGCTGTGATGATCGCATGATTCACAAATGCTCGCGTACTGCAACTGCGTATTGGCACCATTACTGTCTCTGGCATAGCTATTCATAACTCATAACCACCAGCAATCATTGAAGGAACGTGACGCGGTTTGCGAGGCGGGTCTAAGCTTCTCCACCCTCGCTCTGCTTTTCATCATGTTGAGCAGTTGAGCTGAGCCAATAGTACATGGTTAAATCGACCCTTGTCCCACAGGCCTCGGCGAGCTCTGTAACAAAAGACACAATCTGATTGCAAAGCTTGGACCTCGCAGCTTGAAGCTTCGTTCATGATAATATTTGAATCTTGCTGGGCTCCAGGCTTGGTGAACAAATCCAGGTCCTGCTGCCTGACATGGTGGCACATGTTCATCTGCACATGTCTGTGGGAGCCGAGGTTGCGGCGAATTTATGCATTTTTTGGGGACCGCTTGTAGGTCAGGCTCAGTGGTGGCCTGCCGGAGCAAAGCAATCTACGGAATCTACGGTTGGATGCTGCAAGAAGCTGTTGCTTTCTTGAGTTGACGGCCTGGGCACGAGTTTCTGCCTGCACGCACGCCGCGACAGGTCTGCACTGCATTTTTCTGCTTTCTTGCACCGGGTTGGTTTTGCCTGGGCTGCCACGGGAGACTCTGTCAAGGCTGCATATGCCTGGCAAGGTCACAACACGCGTGCTGCCCGCGGCCAAAGCACTTTTGCTTGGAGCTGGCCTTGCTGGGAACAGCGCTGGGCGGTGGCATTTCTGCATGAATGCCCGCCATGGCTTGGAATGCACTCAAGCGAAAGACAGGACGCAACCTGGAAGGGAGTTCAATCTAGCGACTCTGGTGAATCTAATGTACCTATTGTGGCCCGCATTTTCTTCCGGCGTGCAGTCACGCAGGTTGCAGCAGTCCAGCTCTGGTATTTGCAGAACGGAATCATGGCTGCTGGCAAGAGACGGCTCCGGGTCAAGATGCAAGTGCAGCTACAGCGGCGAAAGCTACGGCGACAATGAACACAGCGGCCTGCACCAGAGACATCAGCACCTCCGTCCAGCTTTAGGGCAGGGCTTGGCAGCTAGGACTCCCTAGACCTGAAGCCGATTTGTCTCAGCTTCCGCTGGGACCCAGACGCGATTGTGCTGCAAGTTGAAAGGATCAAAGTAGTGCTTCAGCAGCTTTCGCAATTCGATCGCATCCTTCTTTGGCGCCCGTTGGGCGACACAGAAAATTGTTTATACCCCGTCAAGATGTGCCACTTCTGGTTTGACTACCGGCTACATGCTTCGGCCTTCTGCGAAGGGAACCTGCCAGGCCTGCGCCATTGGCGCTTCTGCTGCATCTCCTGGTGGTGTCAGACCAAACGAATATGATCAAAATCGCTTGCCGACTGTGAAACTGATGTCGTCCAACGTCCACAAGCACCCGGGAGGCGCTGCAAACACCGTGGACACAGTGCTGATGCAGGCTGTCTTGAAGGAGCACTTGCCATTTCGCGGTGTCACAGTGGCCGACATGTATGGGCCAAATGTGTCCGCAGATTCATGCAATAGGATCGTACATCCAGATGGTTGAATCAAATTGGGAGACTCCCAAACCCCTTAATTAAGGAATATACCATCGGGACCCTAGTACCATTGAAGGCATATTCCTTATTGGGGGGTTTGGGAGTCTCGGAGTGCCTAGACCCGAAACCTCTAAACTCCCCAACACCCAAAACCCCTGAACCCATCCCCTAGGATCTAAGGACTCATATATTCGCCTCGGCCGGCCGAAGCGGCCAGAGGTTCCTATTCGGATCCCCTCTATTCCCCACCTCTTAATCCCACCCCTCGCAGAGCTGGACCCCCCCCCTCCCCCCCCTAAAAATGGAAACGTGTAGATGAGCCCAAGGTCGTGCAGTGAATTCTCGCCTTCTCCAACGAATTTTGGCTCTCTGTAGGCAGTCCCACCCACCTTCCCACCCTACCCCTTCACCCCCCTCTCAACCTCCCTCCTCCCTCACCCCGTTCCCCCCCTCGACCCTTCCCCCCTGTTCCCTGATAAGATCCCCCTTTCGTGTCGTGCACTCCACAGCGATGTGCATAGTCTGCAGAAGTACGGACGGTTGTACTAAGCGATATCGCAGCAAACAGAAAGAAACAGCTGCCGCAGCACAACAGTACCGCAAGCTCCTGACAATCTGCAACTTCCACTTGCCGGCCTGAGACGAAGCGCTCAATCGGTTGATTGTGGCCGGGAAGAGCACAGAACAAGGTCGTGACCATCTCTTTTGGCCCGGCAACTCATACGAGGGGTGTCCAACTCCTGGCTGGTAACTTGCAGGTGGCAAGTGCACTCTGAAACCGATCTCGAAGCACTGAACCATGCTTGGCTGACCAGCGTCTCTGATTCAAGCAGGGCATCCCGCAAAGCATCTAGCGAATCCTGCAACCACAAGAAATATTTTCCATCGTTTCCTTGCTCGGCACGCTCGTGTACGATTAGCAGCTTGCATCAAAATGAAGTGAAACTGACTGCATTGCCTGCACCGTAGCATCTACTGTCTTGAACCTCAAGCATCTGTCTTTACGTGCATCCTCTGCAGCGTTGCAGAGTACGGGTAAGCCGGCCAGCAACTGTTTTGTTAACTACAGCAAAGCAGCATGCACTTCTCGGCGTCGGTGGGCCTTGCTCGACTTGAGGCATGCGCGGTTGAGCCTCAAACGATGCAGTGCATCTCGGAGATGTGGGCGGGGAGGGGCGGTCTGCTCCAGATTCTGCGGAAAAGAATGGTCTCTTAGAGCGACTTGGCCACCTAGCAATCGGCGAATCGTCGGCTCCTCTGCGAGCACAAGCAAAGGGACCTGGCCACATAAAGCACGTGCTTGATCTCTTTGGCCTTGGAAGCTACAGCATAGGCAAAGGGACCTCGCCCTCCTTCTGCATGATGCGCGCTTCCTCACAGGACTTCCGTGTTGCTGCCATTTACCCGACGCCGAAAACAATGATTCGCAGCCTTGCCCGTACTCGCTAGGACTTCTTCCACGGGCTGAAGCCTCGACGTGAGTGTGGAGGGAGACAGCTGCAGGAGTTCAGCAATGTCTTTTCTGTATGTTGCAGCTTTCCAAAGCCTAAACCGGCCCATGCTGCCGGACTTGTAAGTCCGCTGCAGCATGTCAGCACGAGAGCGCCAGGAGATCGTATCAGATGCTCCAACCTGAGCTCAGGTCGGGCTGCCGCGTGTATGTACAGGTCAAGTAGGAAATCGTGAACACAGACATACTGTAATAGGTGGCACACCTGTCATTTGTGACTCCCTATTTCTGTCATTTGTGACTCCCTACGTTCCTGGCTCTTGGCCACGTAAATCCCCGTCATTTGTGACTCCCTCCGCCTGGCATCACCACACATCACCTCACCCGAAACTGTTCTTATTCATTGGCAGGCCTGTGATTTCTTCTGAAACAAGCGCCTGTCATCTGTGACTCCCGACCCTTTTGCCTTGCTTTTCAATGCTATTTTCACACAGCAACACGGGTCATCTGTGACTCCCCGCTTTTTCTTGCTCTGGCCATCTGTGACTCCCTACTTTTTCTTGTTTTGGACAGGTTTTCCTTTTCGGTACTAGGTTCCTGCTGGGTTTACTCCTTAGGGCCTTCGTCTTCGATGAAAGATTCTTCTTGGATTCACCCCTTAGGGTTTCTACTTCGGCAAAAGGTTCCTGCTGGATTCACTCCTTAGGGTTTTCGTCTTCGGTAATAGAATGTTGCTGGGCCCCTAGGCTCGTCGTCTTGGGTGAAAGGTTCTTCTTGGATTCACCCTTTAGGGTTTCATCTCTGGCTAAAGGTTCCTGCTGGATTCACTCCTTAGGGTTTTCGCCTTGGGTAACAGATTCCTGCTGGGTTTACTCCTCAAGGTTTTCGTCTTCGGTGAAATGTTCTTCTTGGATTCACCCCTTAGGGTTTCACCTTCGGCAAAAGGTTCATGCTGGATTCACTCCTTAGGGTTTTCGTCTTCGGTAATAGAATGTTGCTGGGTCCCTAGGCTCGTCGTCTTGGGTGAAAGGTTCTTCTTGGATTCACCCTTTAGGGTTTCATCTTCGGCAAAAGGTTCATGCTGGATTCACTCCTTAGGGTTTTCGTCTTCGGTAATAGAATGTTGCTGGGTACACTCCTTAGGGTCTTCGTCTTGGGTGAAAGGTTCTTCTTGGATGCACCCCTTAGGGTATAGTCTAGTACAGCCTAGTATTGCCATGGTACAATGGCTGATATTCTATTACGTGTTATATAGTATATATTTAAAATTATGTATTATTTTGTAGATTGTGTAGTATATATAGTGTTAGATCTAACACTATATACTTTACCTATTAGGTATTATTTTCCTATATTTTAACTATGTAATATTATACATTATACATTACACACTATACCTTATATATTATATATTAAAAACTATATAGTATATATTATATATTATATAATATATACTATAAAAAATAAGATAAATTACATATCAAATTATATATTATATATTATATATTATATATTATATATTATATACTATATATTATATATTATATATTATTTATTATATATTATATGTTATATATGATATACTATATATTATATATTATATGCTATATATTCTATATTCTATATTCTATATTCTATACTCTACATTATATATTCTATTTTTTTATATATTATATATTATATATTATATAATATAATATATATATATATATATATATATATATATTACATATTAACATATTATATGTAATATACTATGTATTTTACATTCAGAATTTATATGTTATAATAATATTTATTAAATACTATTTATCATGTATTCTATGTTATTTTATATATACTACATACTAAACATTATAGAATATATACTGCATATTATTTAGTATTTTTGATATGTTGTATATTTTATACTGTGCATTTTATATTGTATATCTTGTGTTGCATGTTACGTATTATGCATTATATATGATACATGATATATTATATATTCAGAAAATAAGACATTACGGGCCCCATATTTACAGCATTCCTGTTTTTCATGTTTTTGGTTTGCTTCAGATTTGAAGCAACATCACTCGTGCACACGATATCGTTATCCTCATATGCATATTCTTAAATAGGATACTTGCACGTATACCCATACATGTGCTTGTTTCAATTATCGACGTGACTATAGAGCAGGAGGTTTGACTCACTTCTTGGCTGGTTTAGGCCCGAAGGGCGAGAACACTGCTACTAAGGGGAAGGCGGGGGGGGGGGCCGGCGGTCCAAAAAAAAAAAAAACAAATTGGAGGGAGGGGGGGGGGGGGGGGGGGGCAGCGCCAAAAACAAAAAAAAAATTCCAAAATCCAAAATCTTTTTTTTTTTTTTTGGCGCTGCCCCCCCCCGCCAGATTTTTTTTTTTTTTGGTGGCTGCCACCCCCCCCCCCCCTCCCGCGGGGACAGCAAGGCAAGCGACAGCCAGCGCCATGGTGCGCCATACTGCGGGAGCGGACACCAACCAAGAGCCACATGATTTAAACCTGGTGTCCTTAGCCCATCCAAGCCTCACTACAAATGAGTAGATACTCTATGCCGAATATTAAGATCAATAAGATTACAAACTAACCAGATAAACATCTATAGAATCTATAAAAGACTTCAGACACTTACTGTGTATAGAAAAGTCGATATCTGAGATTACATCTCACAAAGATGATAAACTATTTATGACTGATGACATCATATGACGAGGAGACCTTACATTAACATACATTCGACGGATGCGAACTCACGACACAACCACTGCCTGAGCAATGCTAGGTGGACAACCAGTTGAAGGGTCTGTAGTAGTCAAGCGATAACAACAATGTTTGACGTCGCATATGATGTGGTAGCATATGCGAGGACATATGGTCGGTATATATATCGGATGTCAGATACATGTATGAGCAATCTCCTCGATAACATATACAAGAAACACTGTCTTCGCCTTTCATTGACAGGTTGCGATGTAAGGGATCCGAATCCGACTATGTTATGGGTGCATGAAAACGGGAGTTTGAATATTCCACTTGTGCGATGTTCGAGCAACATGGTGGGCTCTGTCGGGGAGTTTACAAGTGGAAATCCTTATTGGTTTATGTTCCTGTGATCATGATCGGCTACTCGCAGGAATCTGAATATCACTATACTAAAACTGGCTAAATATGGAAACAATATATCTCATGAGCACGTCATGGTGAAGTATCAATCTTCACGTGAACCATGCGCATCATAGAATGATATGGCGTAACACACTCGTAAACATGTAGCATGAGGTGCTAGGGAGATGCCATACGAGCTTGGCAAGCTCACGGGATGCACAAGGACATCTAAGTCAAATCTCATAGAGAAGATATGTGTCATGAGATGCTGCCTGCATCTTGCGCCCTATTCATACCTAGCTGTGACTGTTGTAACTTCATGGGAGATTGGGTTTATGTGTGAGAATAAGTTTCCGGGCTTTTAGAAAGGTCTACCGAGAGGTTTAACCAATATGTGGTGCAATCCCGCTTGCCCGCGCGGCCGGAAGGCGTAAAGGGGGAAGCCCGAACGATGCGGGCATCTTATAAGGACACCTACTGCGATGATCTATACGGATGGCTCAATATCATAACGATATGTTGAAGAGATTTCCTGGTGCTCTATGTTGATATGGTCATATTCAACACATAACATGCCTTTTACATTGAAGGAATGCGGCGAATATCCTGTTCAACTGCCGATTGGGTGTCTCATTTTGACGGCTCCATTACTCTTGCCAAAACTGGCATGCAGCTGCCAATGTAATCTGCCATGTTTACTTCCACCACAAGAGATACTTGACTTCTTGATCATGTCACATATTAGAAAGTTGGTTTTAGGCATAGTATAGGTATTATACTTTTGCTTGGGTAACAGGATATAGTTTACGGAGATATCCATAAGACACACGATGAAGTGCGTCATGGGCTTTAACAAGACCATATTAGAATGGTTGCGGCATACAGGTGCATTGCCTGCAGCATAGATACAACAAGCGGTATTGTTTACAGCTGATGACAATCGTATGTGCGTGTCGGTGTATGTTTGTGTGTGCATGTGCAAATAACGTGTTTTCACGGCAGTCGACCTATGACTAGATGGTATGAGCAACAAGACAGCGAAAATGATTAATATTGCAGGTAGATCTCCATATGTCTGCATATACAATAATGATAGCAAAGCACCATCTCCTTGGAAAGTATATTAACTAAATTATATCCTTATCCTTTGGGGGCTCGTGGGCTTCAGCCGCAATGATCACTAATCTGGATAAGCCAGCATTGTAGCTGTCAGGATGTATACAGCAACATCCATGCGATGATTGTCTTCGAAGATCGTAGGTTTTCAGTTTTCTGGGTTGGCTTCTGTGAGAAGCTGTTGCAATTGAAATACACAATTCCGCATACACAGCTCCAAATACTGGACAAATTATTGGACTGGGAGCTCCGAAACAAGGACAACCAATGCAACAATAATCGCAAACAGTAAATACACATTTGAAGGAGGTTGCACTAAACAAGCTAGCATTCATACGAAGAACGGTATCGAAACTGAATGTAGCAAAGACATCTATGTACATATATGTATATATGTACATATGCAAATGGATCCGGTAACACGATCCAGTTGATCGCCTGCATGTATACAGCTTGAGACGATGGGAACTGTTTGAGCAACCTGCCTGTATGATGCCAAACTCAACTTGTCATGCTACAGTATATGCTGGACGTCTATATCCAAAATCATATGTTACCATGCACATGATGGGGCCTGCGAAAACCGGTGGGATATGTAAGCGATTCTTTACGTTGATATGCAAAAGTTATATAGATTGACCGGTCTTGTACATCATTCAAGGGTGGAGAAATGCACGGTTTCGCAGACGCATTGTATCTCATTTATCTGCAAGATTATACTATGAGACACAAAGAACAACCACAAGATTGAAGTGGCATTGATTTATCGGATAGTCTTCATGAGACTCCACAATGAAAGGTAGTCACAAGTGCATCCCATGCTGATTGGAAAAGTACCTCCCATATCAGGCATCAAGAGCAACAGGGTTAAGTAAGCTTGAAAACCACTAGTATGCAAATTATGACGATTGTAAGTTTTTGTAATGAAAACTCTTAGAAAACAGCATTTTGACTGGAAAATATGGGGCCCGTAATGTCTTACACTCTCTATATATTACATATTATAGATTAAATATATATTGTCTATTATATATATATATATATATAATCTTATATATTATATATTACTTCTATATGGGAAGCAAGCATCTGGTTGTGCGAAAAATACACCCCTCCTAGGGAAAAACACTACTTTCATGCGAAAGTGCACCGCGCCTGGGAAAAACTGCATTTTCAGCCAAAAAATGCACCCTGCCGAGGGAAAACTAGGATTTCTTAAAAATTAGCACCGCGCCTCGGAAATATTGCAGATTCCGGCAAACTGACTACAGTCATTTGTGACTCCCGGTTTTCCGTTTCAAAGATCAAAACAATCGGGTGCATGTGCTGGCATGTACCAAAACCCTGGAAGGGTCTCCATTTTCAGCCGTTGAACCACCTGTCATTTGTGACTCCCTGGTCGGCTGTTGGACAACAAGGTTCGTGAAGACAAACGTTCAAGAACGTCCCAAGAGCCTAGGGAGTCACAAATGACCAGTATGCCGTAATAGGTAGAAGTATATAGTGTATACATGCACATTGGAATGATGCGCAGCGCGATAGGTCTGTACATACACACCTCATATAGACAGGCAGGCAGGCATTCTTTTAGAAAGACACCTACACGTACACAATGCACATCCGCTGGCGTCACAATTATTTGTTCATGCCAGTTTCGTTTTAGATTAGGACGTCCCCTATCGTTTTTACAGTTTTGACACTCGGAGATCTTGGAGCATACTGGAACAAACGATACATTGCTGTAGTGGCCCTGGGTTGTATAATGAAGTCTTGTCAGACACAAGTACTTGAGTGCTGCTCGGCCACCGTGAGCAATTCAGCATTTTCCAATGCCGCTCGCAAGATGCCAGCCTGGGCGACGGCGGAAGTTGCTTGCCTCTCCCCTCTCCTTCGACACTTCCCCAGAGTAAATTCGGATCTTTAGCGGCAAGAGGCACCGGACACAAGAGAACACACCAGGCCGAGCTGCCAAGAGCAGGACTCCACACTGACTGGGCCCTGACTAGGCTGGCAAGGGCCACATCAGGCTCCGAGGCACTCGCTCGCTCAATCGGATCCTTGGACCCGTGTCGCGGAAGGTGCAACCTCAGATGCGGCTCAAGACATCTCACACCGTCAGTTGCTCGCTGAAGGTTAAGTCGCCGGCTGAACCTCACGAGACATGAGCGCATCCGTGAGGCTCAATGTTGATGATGACTTCCATGATCTTTGATCCTCGAGCTCGGCCATCAGGACCTCGCATGCGGCCACCAGAGTCTCATCTTCGGTCCGAAGTCGGACTGTGCAGTGCAGTAGATCCACAACAATTGGAGTCAGCTCCCCAATGCTCGCGAGGTTTCTTGCCAACTCGCTCGCGGAATGGCACTTATACCAGAGATTGGGATGTTGCTGTAGCACATCGTCCAGCGGCACCTCGCCATCCTCCCGTAAACGTTTCAAGAATTTTGCCAATTGGGCAGCCATGGTTCTTCTGCGCTGCCACCAGTACTTCTCCTCTAAGTCCTCCGGACTCTGCGGGCACCAACTTGGTTCTAAACAGTCGGTGTTGGGCGTTTCAGACGTGTCAGAGAAGCAGACCATCATGGGCGTGAGCCCCCAGGGTGTGCAAACCATGGGGACCTGAAGAAGAGTCGGGGCCGGATAGTAAACCTGTTCCCAGGCAGGATCATAGTGATGTTGAGGGCTCTGGTCGCTCGGGGTGCCAATTCCCTCAGCGTCCACACCCGTCCCTGTGCTGGCCTTGGCATCTTCATCATCCAACAAACCAGAAAACCATTGCTGGTCCCAAGCAGATCCCTGAGCCTGGTCCAATGGCTCGATCCGGTCAGGAGTGACTTTGACCACCCTCGCCCCCTCGACCGCGATCTTGCCGGAGCTCCTAGCTGCACTGGCGACAGTCGCTAGCCGTTCTCTGGCATCCGAGATGCCTCTGAGCTGTCTTGCCACAAGTGGTTGGTCTGCTAAGTCAAGCAAACTCACATCATCTCGCAGAGCCAGCTCAGAACCAACCATGTCTTCCAAGACAATGCGTATTTGCTCCATAGAACTTCGCATGCCAACCTGCAAATCTGTAAAGCAATCCCAAACAGCATGTTTTAAATCATGGTGCAAGAGCTATTCCTATCTTGGCAGTCTAATACTCACTATTCAATGTGATTCAATTTTGCGTCTGCGTGTCTTCCTCAAAGCGTGGTCCAAAGATGTCGAAAAATGTCCGGCAGCCATATCTGTATTTTACGGGCCCTTTGCTGCCTTCAATCAAATTTGCAGGCGAGGGGCTTCACCTGCCTCGCAGTAAAGGCGTGTCTGCAGGCCGTGTTGTTCAATGACAGTTGAGATGTCCGTCGCACCAAGTTGGGCACGCTGCATGTCTGTCATCGGTGCATGATCCAGAACATAGCCCAGAGATAATCTGCCACTTGCTGGGTCGAAAGCGCTCTCAGGAAGTGCCAGCATCCACTCCTCAATCTCTTCCACAAGCTGAAACATGTTGCCCAAGGGGAGTGCCTCCTCTGAGAGAGAAGGATCGGGAGTGAACATCGCAAGATACCACGCCAATGCCAGCTGTTCTGGAGACCTGCACCGCAGTATCTTCCAAACTTTTGGCGAATGTCGGATATCACTTGAGCAACACATGGACGGCGAACACTATCGATGAAACACTCCGGAAGATGCATAAGTCTTCCATTACGCCTGGCTCGACTGGTCGCGGGAAGCCCACACCGGAATGGCGCATCGTGCACGTTTTGCTTCCGTATATACTGAAAACTTATGAAACATATGCTTGCCGGCTGTGTGCAGCCAGGAAATTGACCAATTTCAAAAGGGCATCTTCACAGAACCAGCTATCTAGGAGCAAAGGAGAGAGGTCAATTCAAGTAAGTGTTGCTGCTGGTTCTGTCTTGTTCCGCAACAGAACATTCCAGCAAGTATTCCCGCTCACATCCAACTGGTCTATGCTAGCTACAGAGATCACTCACAGCTCACCCGCGTCAGAGATTGCCACCTGCGTCCGTGTCCTTGACGAGTAAGCGGTAAGCTCATTGGCCGTGCCGACAGCAGTGCAGAATTCCAGAGCCTGCCCGACTGAGATCCGACGGACTCCATCTGCTGGATAATATCGTATCCTGGCAGATGCGAGTCTGCTCAGAAGCGACAAGAAGTCTCCCTCGGCCTGCTCATTCAGTAGTGATTGCAGGGCAAGGTCCTTCCAGCACTTCGCCGAACACGACATGCTTGCCGTTCAGCCAGTCCGTGGGAGCCGTTGTGATGAAGAACCTCTCAAGAGCGGCAAATTTATGAAGCAGCCTGTTTAGCTGATGGCGCTTCGAGCTTGTAGCTGTGACTTTTATGACTAGTGCTCACTTTGCGACCTCACATTCCACCGCACTTGTGATCCTGGCCTCACTTGGGTCTTGTTGAAACTAGGAGTTCCTTCTAGGCGGCGTTTACAATGGTTGGCAGGGTGGCGTATTCAAGTTCAGAATCTAGTAACGTCTTGGCTCGGGTAGACACAGTCAGTCAATGGCATTGCCAGCGACCCCCTCCGACTGCTCCCGCGTCTGGGATCCAGGCTGCGATCCATTGGTGTTGGGTCCAGCATTGGCCATGCTGAGCAGTCCCGGCCTAGGCTTGTTTGCAGGAACCCAGTTGCACACAAGCAACCCATTATCAACTCAGCATCTTCTAGCTTAGATGACCATCTTCGGATAAGTTAACTTACAATGGCTCCCAGGTACTACTACATAGCGACAACTTTGCATGTGGCTCCAGTGTCTGTAATTCTACACGATGCAAGCATGCAGCAGGACTAGTGACTAGCGATCACTTGGGCGCCCAGCTTGGTGTGGTTCAGCCTGAGCCAAACAACGATGGCTCGACTCTGCCAGAGTTGGCTGTTTCGGAACTCTTGTCTGAGCACCAGGCTCGAAGTTCTCGTCTTCAAACTTATTGCCTGTACTCGGATGACCATCACTGCTTTAGGGCGGTTGCACTGCCGAACATAGCGAAGCCAAGACCCGTACCATAGATGCTTCGGCCGCCAGTGCCGTTGAAGTTGGTGAAGTCACCACCCTCTTCTTGATTTTGGGGTGAGGGTTGAGGATTTAGGGGATTAGGGGACGTCCTTTAAGGGATGCTAATATCAAGTGCTGCTCACACCATGGAGAACGATGAGAATGGCAGAATGATGTCACAGCAGGGCCTGGCACATGAAGCCTGGGATGATGCGGTGGAAGGGGCAACCTGATACCAGGCTCTCCATGGTACGCAATGTGTGCTGCATTTGCAGTTCTGTCGGTGCAGAACCCTGTTGTCCGTTCCTTCAGACATGGCAGGCTTCTACAAACAATCTTGTAAAGACGTGCTACCTCCAAGCAAGACCGTTCCCGAACCGAACGACTGGCCTTTGAATCCTTCGCCAGGCGGATTCTCGCAAAGCTTGCGGAAGTTCTCCACGGTTTTTGGAACAATGCCTCCTGGCGGCTTTTCGGGCCTTTCATGGTTCTGACATGCTCTGATCGGAGGTCACCATGCCCAGGCACCGTAGAGCCCGAAGACCACGCGTCCAGCGGGCTGATTGCCGATGGTGATGTCGAAGAAGACCTGGCAATAGCAAAATTGCACTACTCTTTCGCGGGCTTGCGTGCTCTCCTCAAAGAAAGAAGCCGAGCAAGTTCATGTAGCCAGTCATCAACAGCGATCGCCGTTGCAAGCGGACCGAACATTTGGAACTAGAATCACACGGAATGCTGTGAGGGGGGGCCTTGGTCGTCACATCATCCGGAGACGGATCTCGACCTCCACCGAAAAACAAATTGCGCGCCATTGAGCTGGTGCGCCGTGATCGCAGCCTTATTGCGCAATGCGCGTCCACCGTCCACAAGACTTTTTGCATGTAGCAGCGTGCGGCTCTCTCTGCCTTATACACCGGGCTTCCGACGCAGCGCTGACCAGGCATGCTCCGACCTCGGAAAAGCAAGTGATGTCATTTCATGGGCATGCTTCCGGGATCTTGAAGCTTTGCCCTGAGATTCAAACCGTGGCTGCGGCAACAGCTGGCAAACCGGAGCTGGATATGGACTGCCTGCAAAGCGACCAGCCGCATCATACATGTCTGCATGTCACTGAGAATCTATGCGTGGAGTGGCAGGAACCAAAAGTACACACATCACGTCTGTTTGGCCACCCCACCCCTTTTCCCACACCCCCGTCAAGCAAAATTGCGCAACAGGAACTGCGACCAAGGTCGCTTCTGTGGGCTCCCATCAGCTTCCCGGATCTCATCACACGCTGCGATGCTATGAAATCAATGGATGAGGTACTAACGAGAGCTAAAGATGATAAAGGCTGGACAATTCGTTGGGAAAGCGCTGAGAAACTCGCTTTGACTGCACTTTAACATCCCGACCTCTCTGGGGCAGCTGGTCGAAAGCTGCGTGCGCTGGTGACCTGGGCTCTGGTTAGGCTTCGCTACAACTTGATAGCTGAATCGGTTTTCAAGGTGTTTTTGTTTTTTGTTGGAGTTTACGGCCCAAGTTGAGAAGGAGCACTGTGGGATGCTCCGCCGGCGCGACTTGCACGAAAGCATGATGACCCAGCCAGACGCAAGCGCCTCAGGGCCCAGGGTGCGTGCAAGGCATGCTGTACTCTAAAGCCCTAACTTACTGTTAGAACTCATTAGAATATATTGTAATATCTTGTACTATATTTCAATATACTCATAGTACAATATAGTATAGTTCTTCGGCATGGTCTACGGAGCGGCAACCTGTCGTACCACGACGCATGCAGTGCCCTCCTTTCTGAGAGGAAAGCCCACTGCAACCAAAGCAACCGTCCTGCAGGTGTGCCAACATCTCTGAACATTTCTGACATTTCCAAGGCTCTCTGATGGGCTCCTGCTGGACATGCTTGTCATGTCTCGCAGTGGGCGAAAATCTATGGCTCTGTAAACCAAAACTGCCACGGTATCAGGTGGCTGTCACTTCACTTGGTGCGTCGCTGTCGATGTCGAGAGATTTGCACGATGTCGGCTTCTAGGGTCTGCTTCTCAAAACGACGGTCTCTTCCCCGATCGCAATAACTTGCTCACAAGCTGCCATGATTAAATCTGGGGCTGAGAGCCCTTCCAGGATCGGCAGCACAGTGGCAATGCCACTGTGCATGATCAAAACTGTGCAGGGTCTTAACAATTCTGGCCACGCCTTGCCACACCCACCTCTGCTCCACGACTGCAACCTTTTGGGAAACAGATCTGCGAGCAGCCACCATAGCCACCTTTTACAAAGCTTCGTAAACTAGGCCGGCTAGGCCTGTTTCGAGACTTCACTGGACAAGTCAGGGGTTGGGGCAATGCAACCATCCCAGAGCGTTGAAAAAGGAGCAGGCTTCAAGGTAAAGGTTTGGGGGGGATGTTCTCCGGCGTGCATGGCCTCTAATTCGCAGTAACACAGCACTTTGCAAACTGCCGTGCAACCGAAAGCCCACGCGCAGGGACCTGCAGCCGTGAGCACTGCAGTCGCCCTTCGGCCGTCGACTCTGAGCTCGCTGCCCGGCCCTTCGGAATCAGGTCTTGCGCAAAACCTGCTCAACATGTTCGCATAGTCTTACGGCTGCTATGATTCGAAGCATTGCAATTCGCGCCCTCTGACTTGGCAGACCCCAGGCAAGGGGTGCTGTGTCCGTGTTTGCTGAGGTCATCTTCAGCTCCTTCTAGCAATGGCTCTCTTGTGGACCTTCCTTGTGAGGCTCTGATGATATCCCTTTCCTCGAAGTCACTGTCGTCGCTGACAAGGATGGTTTCCTTCATGGGCGCATGGATGCATCACGGGGAAGCTCCGAAGCTGAGGCGAAGCGCTCGGTGAGGACTCTCCTCCTCGGGGAGCTCGAGCTCGACTTTCACGTCACCGCTTCCTGTCCCTGTCCGGCCATCGCCCGTACCTCGCGGCGCGGCGCGGCGTGGATGGCTTGGGTCAAGGCATGTCAAGGCTATATGGCATTTGCGATACGCGGTTCAATCGAGCGGGGCGCGATCAAAGGTCTCGCTTGATTCCTTTCGCTTCCTGCCGGGAATGACAGAACGAAGCCTGTTCTGGTCCACCGGGCACCGGGCAATGCAAGACCCGAGGCTCCAGTCCTCGCGCTGGAAGACGCTTGGTCTGGCTCCTGGTGGCGCTTGCAATGAAGTGGCTGCGTCAACAGCCGGCTTGTGCCTGCAAAGATCGCTTCCGGAACAGGGTCTCTTTGTCTTGGACCTCTGCATGCTGCAGGTTTAAAGCGCCACTGCCACTGGGGTTGCTTCTAGCGACTGCCAGTGTGATTGAGGCAGAAGGCCCAACGAAGCAGCTCCTGGATAGCCTGCCAATCTAGCGGCATGCAATCTTGAGACTCTTCAGACTTGCAAGCAAACCATCTGGCAGATAGGATTCGACACATTGCGGCACCACCGTCTGAACAAGAGCGTGCCCACTGAACCTTAATGCATTGCAGGCGACGCAGTCCCGCCTTCTGTCTGTCGTGGCACATGCCCGCAAAAGCAGCTGGTTGAACCTCGCCAGCATGGCACTACCCGAATCGAACGTGAGAGAGCACATTTAGTGAATGCAACTAAACAGAACGATAGCGTCAGATGAGGCAGCTTCCCCGGAGTTTTTGGCCATCTAGAAGCAGCTGCCCACTGAGATCCTTGCTAGATCTTCCAGTTTGGTAAGGCCCGTGGTCTTTCCTGCTTGAAGAAAAGATATGCAGCGCAAACGGACGGATTTCAAGCCATCACCATCCCGGAACAGTCGATCTCCTGCATCGCGATGCCCAGCACGCTGCTGTAAACAGCCTCCCTTGCGAAGCAATGGGGTAGGGCAAACTCCACAAACTGGTCAGCGGCAAAGCCCCAGGCCATTTTGGCGTGCACGGCTCGAAAGCCATAGCACTGACCTGAGGCAGCGGAACATGCCAGCATGTACGTCCCGGAACTGCGCCAGGTAATGCATGTGCGAAGACCCTCAATCTGTTTTCTCGGGCGCTGGCATTTCAGGGTCCGACCTCCCCTGCTCAGGACATCGTGATTGAGGCAAATGTCCTCCGGTGCAAACAGTCAAGGACCAAGGATGCTGCTTCTCCCTTGTTAGTACTGCTTTGCCGCCACTCACAACATCAATAGACTTCCGCTTCGTAGTCGAAGGCTGCTACTGTGACATGTGCAGTCGGGGTCCTCGTACATCTGTAGACTGGGCACGTACTCAACTTGCAAACGCCGAAGCTCGTTCAAGTCCAGGAGCACCACCTTCTTGCAACGCTGCATGGTGCTGCTATCACATGCGTTTCAGTCAAGCCCGGCCTTGTACAGGGCGAGCTCGTCCAGCTTCCACTCTGCACCTCTGCGCATACGGCTGACTGGAGCCAAGCGCAGCATAGCGCTGAGCGTGGAACGCTTGCAAACAGCAGTGCCGTCATCTCGTAAGAAACCAGCCACCGCGGCCCTGGGCAAACGCAGGAACAGTTGCACCGTCCAAAAGCAATGCTATCTCTCGACCTGCCAATAAACGGATGGCGCTGGACAGCCAAAAGTGCCTGCCACGATGCAGAGCATTTCGTCTCTATAGACTAGTGACTATGGTGTGATCGAAGACACTGCCTCCACAAACATCAGCTCGCTGCTTGCAACTCTGTGCTTCATTCGCTTAGGCCTGTCATCCACGACCGCCTAGCTCGCGTTCTACGATGTACCTTTCTGTAGCGTCCCTACCCAAACATGGCCTTGCCAATCTGCCGCACTGGCGGAAGTTGTCCATCCAGGCCAATCTGCTCATGCAGGAGGTCAGGACGTAAATGAAAGGGCAAACACAAAGGCGGGCAAATCATCGGCCTGTAGAACGTGGTCAAAGTGTCGTCCACGATCCAGATCCTGGCGCCAAAGCCAAGCTCTTGAGGTACTCGGAACCCTCGCGCCCTTGACGAATCTTGCGTATGAGAGTGAACGCTGCAAACGCAACGCTTCGACTTCCTTCCCAAACGGCGCAGCATTGCGGGCTGACAGGGTCCAGAACATCCTGAGCTGTGTCGCTGTGAACTGCAACCACTGCAGTCGAAAAACGTTGCAGGCCTCCAGCGACGTGTGCGCGAGTGCACACCGTCTGGACAGCCTCATAGGTCATAGGTGCTGGGCAAGACATCGGATCCAAGGGATCGGTCAGTCGGGTACACGAGCTTCACACCCACCGAGCGTAACCTGGTCCGCGATTGCCTCGGTCGCACAAACGAGTGCACAGATGCTCCGCACACTAAAACAACAGGCCTTCGGGAAGGACCAGCATCAAAGCAAGTGGCCAGGTATCCCGGTAGTCCTCCTGGAAGCAAGAAGGGCCGATGTTCGCCCCCGTTTTGGTCGAACTCCGGAGACCAACCCGACACAATCCGCGGGGCGCACAATCCGAATTGTGAGAACAGCTGTTACTACACAAAGTGTGCGCCAAGCGATGCCAAGCAGCCTCCTCTTCAGGCTCCACCACGATACAAACGACGGGCTGCAAGCCTGGTTCCTTCTCCTGTATCTGCACCCGGACGAAGAAACACGTGCTTCCATCAGTCGTACGAGAGTAGACAAAATCCTGACGGCCTGGCCTGGGGACCGAAAACATGCGGAGCTTCCCAGTTGAGATGTGCCTTCCACAGCCCAACCGTGAAGCGCACTGCACCCCTCAGGGCTGGAATAATTGGATGTTGTAGCCCTTTCTCGTAGGATTCTTATTACAAGGATCCACAAAAGAGATACCCATAATTTCCGGGGAAACTCCCATGAAACCCCTCCGCAAGCTCTGGCCTTCTCTGGTCGACCCCGTGAGGGAATGAAGACAGGATGCGGCACTTGCAATGCCTTCGCAGTGGCAGACAATTCTCAATAAGAAGGTGTGTGTGTGTGTATATATATATATAATATTTATTATATACTACATATATAATATATACACACATGTTATATATATATATATATATATATAGGTGGCAAGAACCTTTATGTATAATGTGACTTCCTCTTTGGCCTTGCTTTAAGCCTACTAATAAACTAAGTGTGTATTGCATCTTGAAGCCTGTAGAAGCCTCAGAACCGAACCGTAACATGTGCAGTGAGCGATTCGCACACGCAGCGCTTTTTGACGGAAAACTTGTGGCGAACGAAGATTAAAACTGTTGAAGCCTATGCCGCTTTACGCCCGCCCCCCACAGCCCGAATGCGATTCTGGCATTCAGGGTGGTGTTTAACTGATACCTTCTTTCTGAGACCAGCATTTTTTTCAAGCTGCTGGTCGCAGGCCTTGCACTTCACAAGCTGAGCATCAGGAAGTGGAGGGGGGGGGTTTTGGGCTCCGATCACAGCGGGGGCGACTTCTGCAGCGACACCGTTTGGTTGTACTATGTTGTACTTCACGGGGGCTGGAAGATGAGCTTGAGCTGGCGTCACTGGAGTCGCTGGAGCTGCCAGACTTGTCATCGTCGTCGTCGCGCACCGCCTCTTCCTCGGCCAGTTTTTGCGTCAGAATGTCCACCTGCAGGGAATAACTTTATCACCCCCCCTAAACGGCACGTTTGAGGTATTTTAACAACAAGTACCTTCAGCTGCCAGTTGTCTCGATGGGCCACTGCTGACGCCAGTTGCACTCGGAGGCGCTTCGCTGGGGATGCCATGGCAGCGGGCGGAGGTGCTGTGGTCGGGTAAAGGCTATGGACATGCATCATGAGCATTTCGATCATGACATGAGGCGCACGCACACTTTGTTTAGCTTCCGGCTTCTCCTAACTACAGTTTTTTTCTTACGCTTTTCTGGCATTCTTCTTAGAAGTCTTCCTATTCGTACACGACATGTTCAGGGGGACGATTAACTGTCTGGCCCTCTTTCTTCTTCTTCCTCTTCCTTATCCTCTTCCTCGGCTCGTTGCGTGGTGGGAGGACGGATGCAACTCGGCAAGGCCTCGCCATGCCCGCTCCGCCTGTAACCACACCCGAAGCCTCATGACGTCAAGACCGAGAGTTGATTTCATTTGCCAAACGATCCCATTCCCAACTGTACATGTTAAACTCAACAGTACAATCATGCCACTCAGAACCTACCGAGATCTCAACTTACCCGATACAATCACGCACACAAGCAGATCAATCCTTTGTGCTGTCAAGCCGTCAGGCCAGTAGCGTCCAGTCTTGAGCCAATGTCATTCGGCACGTGAGTGCTTGGTATAGATGATACTGTTGTTGCTCACTTCACAGAGCTTGATGATGTAGATGTGATTGGCCAATATCTTGGCAGATTATACAACACCCTCGCAGCAATCCACTTCCGATGCAGGCGCACTGCATCGAACTCCTTTTGCTTGCAATGGCTCGGCGAGTGCTCCGTGCAAAGAGGACTGGCTCGAGGCTTTTGGATCGGTAGCGTACAACCTAAGTCGTAAGTTTTTGGCTATTCACAGTACGAGCTTGAGCTCATTCTTGAGCCACTAAGTTGCATGTGAGGCGGAGCACTGTAAAGGATTGATGCGGTCTGCGAAGCAGGTCCGTATGATATATACATGATCTACAAGGCAGGCCCATGACACTGTGCTCATAGCTCTTGTTGCGACACCCAACGAATTGGACTAGATATCGAGGTCCGTTCGGATTCGGCATCAGATGCATTCACACATGCATGTTCCCACTTCGTGATCATTGGGGTCACGTTTGGGGCAGTGTCATTTAGTAGTAGGCCGCACGCACGGCTTGTCCTCCTGGGTCACAGACTTTGCAGTGCCATCCGCAATCTTTGAATTCCCAAAGCAAGCCACGCCCAGACCTTCGCGGCCATCTCTGATATGGCATGGTATGGCACAGCAATAGTCCTGCAACAGAAAGAGTACACCTCCTAGGCAGTTTGACTGACATTCAGGCAAGTTTATCCTGATTGCCAACGTGAAAGCAGATTTTTCTTGCCTGCCACGTGAAGTCAACTTTTTCCGTGCAAGTCGCAAACAACGGAGGGAGCTCGGCTGCAGCGGATAGATCAAAGCTCAGTTGTGGCTGTCAATGTTCGAAACATAGCTGGTTCTTGCCACACCTGATGTACAGCTAACGATCACTTTCAGCTACGCTTTGTTCCCTGTCGCCTTAGCTTATGGTCCCTCTCCATAGTGAACACCGTGCGTTTCCGCTTCGGCTGCGCAGATCTTTGGCAGGCAGCTGGCCGCTTAACGGACCACTGCCTCACTAGTCGCCTCTCAACCCGACGGCTTTCCTCCAATGGAATATCCGCCTTGCAGACGACGTCTTCTTCTACATTAGCCATGCACCATTCCCGCCACGAGTCCGAGGTCCAAAGACTCTTGCCAGCCAGTCGAGCTAGCAGTGACTGACCCGACATCTGGCTTAGAGTTGGATTCCGCAATGCGGTGAAGTGCGGCCACTGCTTTGAGAGGGTGAGGATGCTGAGTTTCAGTTGAAGAGTACTCTGGTGGATTTGCTGGATACGTGAAAACCAGTTCTTGATTTCGGCATGCAATGCCTCATTGGAGCTTGTGCCTGCAGGTAGGAGCGTCAGGTCAGAGGCTCCTCAGTGCTTGGTTCGTACGGACGGTTACAAGCATTTTTGCAATATGCAGTATACCCAGCAGAACTAAGTTCAAGACTGACATGGTGTCGCCATCGGAGATTATTCCACAACCATTCCAGCCGCATTGGTGAAGAGGAGCACCAGAGGACGTGGCTGACATATTGGTTCGCACCAGTAACCTTTCGGGCCATGTCCTCAGGGTGCAAAGCAGCCAGTGCGGCCAGGGCCTCCACATACTCGAGGCGAGACCTGAAAGGCTTCTCTCCATCAAGCGTTGCATAGATGCGCTTGGCCTTCGCCGGTAGCATGGATCCGTTTGATATCTGGTCCCTGACTCGTATTTCTTGGAGAGATAGATTTCGCTCCTCGTGCCCATGGAAAAATATGGCGAATGACCCTTCTGCGGCTTTGGGATCGACAGAAATGAATTTCTGCAATATTTTCCTGAGAAATCTTGCACCCTGCGTCTTTTTCCGCCAGGTCGCGTACCTGCAGCAGCCAGTCAGTTGTTCATTTCTTGCTGATAGCACATGCATCTCTACATGTACATGGTGCGATCATGCAAGTAAGCTGCTCGTAAACAATAGCAAGGTGTATGGGGTCCAGGCAGAGGGCTTGGAGGTTGGGCAATATCCTTGCAAGCTCTGCATAAAGCTTCAGGGAGGCATTGTCTGCGGCGACGCATTGGATCTGACGAACTTCCTCAGCCTTCTCGTTCGGGACTGCGACCATGGCGAGAACCGCACTGGTGCGGCCCCGAACCGTCAGCACCCTTCGATAGGCGGACTCGTCGTCGAACGGCGCCGCATTTCGCTTTGTCGCACTGCGACGGTACGATTCTTGACCCATGACGGCCATGCAGCACTTTATCGTCGCATCAATGGAGATGGTTTCGAACTCCCTTCTATCAATGAAGAAGTCAACCATCTTCTTGGAACATGCCTGCAAGACTGGCGCAGCGAAAACGTCCTCTATCAGCGGCCACCAGTGCGCTGCCATAGTCGGCAGGAGTGACAGGAGCTGAGCTTTGCGGCCAGCGAGGAATGTAAGGATTCTTGCTTTGGCCTAAGAAAATCTGATAAGATGAGCCTGTCCAAATGTCTAAGCGAATTTGCTCGTATGACTATACACATACACACCCATACTCTCTATTCGTTGCCAAGATACTGCCTGACACTTCCCGCTGCACATGAGCATTTCTCGGAAGACAAGCTCGGCAAAACCCTGGTCATAATACAAGTTCCTGGCTCGTCTTACATGCATGGTGTCACCAAGGGCGGAGAGATTGCACAACAAGGGTCCATCGGCTGTAAGTACCAGGCGAATGTAGCGGTCAATTTCGTTTTGAGAAACTGACAACCCAGGAACGATGCTCTGACGAAGGATGCAGGCGCTTCTCTCAAGATATTTGCCACCCGGGCTTCCGGAAATCTGATCGTCATCAAACAACGCCGCAACTATCTTCAGTTGCTTTGTCCCAGAGCATACGAACTGCCGTCCCTCCGTGTGGTAGCGCCGAACATGGCTCTGCGCTCGACTGTTCTTCTGAAATGTACGGAAAGGACAAAACGGACACTTCTTGGTGTTGGACGTGGTCTCGAGCTGACGGGACACCTCAAGCTCCATCGAACGCAAGAGGGTGTTCGACACCTGGACTAGGGACTCGTCGAGCTCTGCCTCGGGATCTCCACCCTCATCGTCGGACGACTCCTGCAGCAACATTATTCGTCTAGATGACTTGCTTGTGTATACAGCTCAAGTTCACAGCACTAGCCTCACTACCAACATATATGAGGCTAAAAAAGCCGCGCACACACACAGACACACATGTCAGCTAGACCAGATTGTGTAGTGTGATGCAACCCAGCCTGAAGTGATGAGTCAGCCGGCTGAGTCAAGCAAGATGCCCACTCGTCTTGCCCAGCTCCCGCTTGAAGATTCAGGAGTATCTCTTGGCCTTCTTTCAGAGCCTGCGCAGGCGGGATCGGACCGGGTTGTTTCTCAAAGCACCTGAACAGCACGATGGATTTGGAGTCGAGGCAAGTCTCTGCGAAGCCTGTGACTTGTGACACTGTGCTGTAAGTTCGCCCGCGGGAGTCCACCAAAACAACATCATCCTCAGCACGAACCACACAAGAGATGCAATGCGGACGCCCCCCGTTCTCAGCATGGATGAGGTATTTGCCACCAACCTGAAAGACTGGATCCATGGATGGCACAGCATGAACCTTGAGCCCATGCAACGTCTTTTTGTACGATCTGGAACACGTGCGCTCAGCATCTGCATTCTCGGACGTGGCCCCTTTCACCCATTTCTTTATCTGCTCCAAGCGATTCGGAAAGAGGTTAGCAAGTGCCAGGCAGATACAGTTGCCAGGTGCCTTCATGGCACTGTCGAAATCAAGCTTGTCTATCTTCTCCTCAGTCCCGAAACACATCTCAGAGAACAGCAAATGCTCCTTCTCAACAATGACGACATCGAAGCCTGTAGCTGCTTTTATGTGCTCGGCAAAGTGCGTGCAGAGCTGACCTGTAGTCATTTCCGTCTCCATACCCATGCAGCGTAGACCGTCAAAGTGCAAGGAAAGGTGCTTGGGCTTCAACCTCATGACTGCGACTTCCCAGGCCTGAAGGATGTAGTCCTCAACAGCTGCATAGAGGTAGAATAAAGCTGAAGCCTCTGGATGTTTCTTGGCGGACATGTCCTTGACCACGGCATACGTTTCTGGCAACAAGCTGCAGGCAAGCCATCGCAAGCACAAGGACAGCTGCTGGAAGTCCTTCACGAAATGGTTTTGTGCTAAAGATGCTGGTGGTATTCCCCCGAATAGTAGTTCGTGAAGCAAGTGCTTGCCTTTCTTCTCAGACAAGTTGAGCTTGTTCTCGCAGATTTCTTTTCGTTTCGCAGCACAGTCTGCAAGGATATCGAGTAGCGCCTGTGGCATGGAAGATGATACATCCAGCTTCTGCACTAGCTGTTGAAGGATGACAAACACAGCGTTCTGAATATCGAAGTCCACAGTCTGAGGACAAAGAACACGGAGCATACGTCGTGAAAACTTCTGAGCTCCGTCGCCCTTAACATATGCTCGGGTGCGGATCATGTTC